GACTCTTTTTTCACTATACCTTTACAAACAAAGGACAGAAAAAAATTTTCCTTCACAGTGCCTACTTATAATAAGTCTCAGCCTACTAGGAGGTATCAGTCAACCGTCCTTCCACAGAAAATGCTCAATAGCCCCACCCTACGCCAATACTTTGTAAGTCAGCCATTGGAAATAATACGTAAAAAATTTCCTAAATTTATAATTTACCATTACATGGATGACATTTTGCTATCTAATTTAAACATAGATACTTTTAAAAGAATGATTGAAGAAGTAAAGAAAGTTTTGCCAAAATGGGGATTACAAATTGCTTCTGAAAAAAAAAATATAAAGAGGACAATCTGTCAATTTCTTAGGTTATAAAATAGGTTTACAGAAAATTAGGATACAAAAGGCAGCAATTGTGAACACATTTTAATGACTTTCAAAGATTGTTAGAAGATATATCCAGTCTACGACCAGATGTTGAGATAACACCTGATCTAATAGTTCATTTAAGCAAAACCTTAGATGGTGACAAAGACTTAAATAGTCCCAGAGAATTAACAGCTGAAGCAGAAGAGGAATTGATTGTCATTTAAGAAAAATTACAGGAGGCACATGTGAATAGGATAAATTCAAATCCTAATTGCATTTCAGTTATATTGCCTTCCAAAATTTCCCCTACAAGAATTTTATTGCAAAGGGAAGATATTATCTTAGAATGGATCTTATGGATATGATCTTATGGAATGGATCTTATGGTTATATGGATAACCACATAAACCAAGTAAAAAATTAAGAACTTATGTGGAAAACATCTCTAAATTAATTGTAAATGAATGATTTAGATTTTGTGAAGTAGCAGGTTGTGTTCCACTTTGCATATTTTGGAAAATTATAGTATGTATACCACACCATTGACACTTATTCAGGTTTTCAGTGGGAAACTGCTTTAGAAAATGGGCAACCTTAGGAAAGGTTGATTCTGTAATCACACATTCATTAGAAGTTATGGCTATCATGGGTATACCTGCACAAATAAAGACAGATAATGATTCAGCATATATCTCTAAGAAATGAACCTGCTTTTTGCTTATTATATTGTAAAACATTTTACAGGTATATAAAATAATCCTACAGGTCAGGCAGTTATAGAAAGATCAAATAAAACTATAAAGGATATGTTAAACAAACAGAGAGGGATAGAAAATACCGCCAGAAATAGATTACATACTGTTTTATTAACCTTGAATTTTTTAATGCTAATGAGAAAGGAACAACAGCAGCAGAGAGACATTGGATAATAAAAAAATAATCTGTGTTAAATTAGCCAGTACATTTCAAAGATCTGTTGACCTCACAATGGACACCAAGAAATTTGTTATGTTGGGGAAGGTGTTTTGCTCTTGTTTCAACAGGAGAAGAAAAGTTATTGATACAATCAAAATTAATAAAGATTCGGTTTGAAAAGAGAAATCTCTTGAGAAAGAGGAATGATGGCTCATCCGCCAAGGAGACAACCAATCAGTTGATAAGAAAACCTCATAAGGGTTGGGGCATGGTTCCATTCTTGTTTTTGCAGGAAAATACTCATCTTCAAAAAGTCAATAGGGCCTGAACATCTAGATATCTAAAGAAGAAAAGATAATTATCCAGATAGGATCATCAAGCAAAGAGAATTATCACTTATGAGGACAGATCATCTGAGGGTAAGAATCTCTGAACATAAACTAGAATAATAGTCATGACTCACTTAAAAATCAAAGCTGGCTTGGAGTTGGACAATGATTCTGTCCTTCTCTAAATCCAAGCATGTTGTTAAAAGAAAAAAATCAGAGTTTCTCTCTCATGTCAGGAGCTATCTGTTATGAGACAGAAAGCAGAAAGAATTTAGAAAAAAAATTACTTTTCTTCATACCTATTTTGTCTCTCATTAAATATATATCTGCACAAATAAGGTTTAAGTTTTCTACAATGAATAATTGATGGAGGAAGGTCATTGGCTAATAAAGAAACTGCCTTGGCCCATTTGATAGGCCAGCCTTTAGGTGGGTAGAGTAAACAGAACAGAATGCTGGGAGGAAGAGGAAGTAAGCTAAGACTCCATAGCTCTGCTCTCTGGAGCAGATACAATGAAGCTCCGACCCAGGATGGATGTAGGCTAGAATCTTCCCGGTAAGTGCACCTCGGTGCTACACACATTAGTAGAAATTGGCCAGGCAGTGTTTAAATGAATACAGTTTGTGTGTTGTTATTTCGGGGCATAAGATAGCTGGCAGCCAGGAGCCAAGCTACAGGAACACAGTCTGCAGCTCCATCAACAAATAACGAATTTTCCTGCAGTAATCTTTGAAGCTTCCAGGAAAAAGATGGGGCCCCACAACAATGAATCCACCTGGTTGATATGACATCATGATGTTGATAGCGCTACTATAAGACCTGTTTTGGGTACCAGCTGCTCAAGATGGTTCCAACTTGGTTAACTGAAATGGTGTACTTTTTTACAACATTCTGGTCAGAACTCCAAATAGTAATCTCAGAAAAACCCTACCAAATACTCAAGAGACTATTACCAGACAGTAATCTTGAAACTTAACCATCATTTTACTTTCACAGGATCACATAGAAAGAACATCACCCCCATGACAGCTACAAGTAATTCTAGAAGACGACATCCTCTCTCCTATCAAAGTTTGCCCTCAGGGTTAGAGATATCACTTAAAGGTTGATTATAAGTAGTATAGGGTTAGGGGTTGGAGAGGAAATTATGTAGGCTCAGGGATCTCTTTGAGGGAAAAAAAAGGGGAAATTGGAGGTGATAATAAATTAGTGTGAACTTATTCACACTAATAATAATAGTGAGTAATAGAGTGAATACTTGCAAGCTAATATTTATAGGCAATTTACATTGGTATAGATTCTTGTATATTGATACAAACTTAAATTATATTGAATATGTTCCTCTTTTTGTCTACAGTATTTGTATGTCTAGGCAAAGTTATTTTGTCATATTGTATGCATGCATGCTTCTACCCCTGCTTAAGACATTTTGTATACTGATACAATTTTAGCATATATTTATCATATTGCAATATACATTTCTACCTCTAATCAAAATACTTTTGCATTGTTTACATTTTGAGATCATTATCCTCATTCATTGCACAGTTGTTTAAAGTTTATTTAATATTCTAATGGGAAGTCTTATTAAGTTATGTAGGTATCAAGAATGATAGTCCACTTGTCATCCATGCTTCTCATACTTACAGTTAGACTAATCAGTTTCTTTAGATAAATGAAGATTATATTCTGCATAGATAGATAATCATCAATCACTTCAAAGAGCTGTAGAATATGGGATTTAAATAATTTAGGGTTCTGTTGATGTGAGACGTGATTGCTCCTGGTAGTACCAATAAGAATGTTGAGCACTGCCAGGTGATGGTGGCGCACGCCTTTAATCCCAGCACCTGGGAGGCAGAGGCAGGCAGATCTCTGTGAGTTTGAGACCAGCCTGGTCTACAGAGCTAGTTCCAGGACAGGCTCCAAAGCCACAGAGAAACCCTGTCTCGAAAAAACAAAACAAACAAAAAACAAACAAACAAAAAAAAGAATGTTGAGCACTGAAGATATTTCACTTGGAGTTTGTTTTCTTCTTGGCAAAAATGGCCTTCGGGTAAGGTACTGTCCATGTATTGATCACTGACAAAATGCACGATGTCTAAGCAGGATACAAAAAAAAAAAAAAAAGACGGTGAAATCCTGCTAAAACAGAGAGAGTAAGACAGTTTTCAAAAATTTCCTGCCTCTGAAATGGTCTGTCAGGTACACTAGGCCTTAGCCAAAGTTGGTAGCTCCAGTGTTGCAAATGAGACTTTAGGTGATTGTCCAGGTAGCCAGTTGTCTCTGTCATTTGTTGCATATTTTGGAAGTTGCTTGATTGCACTTCCTGCTTACTCCAGTAATATTATTTCCCTTCTCAGGTCTTCGATAGGGTTGAAGACTAGATAGTTGTAGTTACTTTCCTCTCATAACTTGGCCAAGTTATTTCTAATACAAGACTTATATTCCTTAGGATAGGACAATTATTGAAACATCACATGTTTCTTGCTTAATATTGTTTACACTGGTTGTAATTCTAATTTTTATACCTGATATTTGTTATTATTGTATATAAATTTATATTAGGCTTAGAACTCTCTTATTTAAACAAAAGGGGGAAGCGCTGTAGGAATTCCTACCACCAGTAGCCTTTAAGTTATCAGCCCACTTGGGTGAGGCCTCTTATACTATAAATGCTGATGTAAAGCATGTTTCCTCTTCTGGATTCAGTTCCTGTTCCCAGTCATGCAAAGGACTATGGTCTGTGAATCTATCCCTAAATAAATAACTCTTTATTATACTCAATTCTTAGCTAGTGTGGGATAGCCTTTTAGCATCCGTCTTCAGACTGGTTTCTCTGCTTCTCTGATCTTTCAGCTCTCACCCCCTAATATCTATCTGTCCTTGGGTTTTTATTAAGACCAATTAGAACTCATGCTACAGAGATCTGCCTGCCTCTACCTTTGTCATTTTTATTACTTTAAGCATGTGTGCTTATGTGTGGTGTGTGCGTGTGACTGCAGGTGCCTGAGGAGCTAAGAAGAGGGTGTTGCATTCCCTGGAGTTGGAGTGCACATGAGCCCCTGATATGAGTGCTGGAGCCATACTCCTCTCCTTCCCAGAGCAGCAAGGGCTCTTAACCCCTGAGCCATCTCTCCAGTTCTGTGACAAGAACGTTTTGCTACAGCACTAGGCTTTTAGATACTAAGAAATTTGAGGTTTGGCAAAGTAGAAGTCTGATTTTCTCTCTTTAGAGTCACTGCTGTTTTCCCCACCTGCATCATGAGGATTTTTGAATTTTTCCTTAACTTTGACTTGTGTGGGCTTGCCCCATGATGAGGGGGATTATAGCATCTACTGATATGAATAAAAATGAGTCAACTCAGAGAAAAAGAAAGCAAAGCAGAGGCTCTTACTTTATAAAATATGCTGTGGTTATGAAAGATGAGACGCATGTCTGCAACAAAATGCTTTACCGAATGGTATGCCTTCTTGTTCAGCCTTTTCTTGACTTTGTTTAACCACATGTGTTCTTTGAGATCTGGAAAGTCTTCTTTTCTCTGTTGTGAAAAGAACCAAAAATATGTGTGTGAGGGGGGTGCTGTCAGTATAGTCCTTAGCTGGCTTTCCACATGCTCCCATGGTTGTGGATTCTGAATGCTTGTATCTTTATCCCTCTAATACATAGGGCGAAATCCTAACACCTGGCACACTGGAAGTAAGAAGTAAAGGCTTTGCAATTAGCTTATGAAGGTGTAGCCCTAGAAGTGGGATTAGTGCCCTTATTAAGATTCCAGGAAGCTCTCCCAGTCTCTTTTCACCATTTGAGAGAGCAGTCTGAAGTGAGTTGCCTGCTTCCCGGAAGACTTTTAGCCAGTTGTCATGGCACACACATTTAACCCCAGAATATTGAATGCACAGGCAAATGAAATCTCTATGAGTTCAAGGCCTGCTTGGTCTACAGAATAAGTTCCAGGCCAGACAGAGATGTGGAGTGAGACCTTGTCTCACATAAAGAAATAGAAGATCCTTAACAGAAGCCAGACTTTATCTGCACCTTGGCCTCAGACCTTCAATGTCCAGAGCCATAAGAAACAAATTTATATTGTATATATTGCCCCAAGTCTACGGTAGTTTGCTATGTATGACTTCCTGCACAAAGACGCCCATCAAGAAGGCAAGAGAAAGACAACTTGTATGGGAATAAGATCACAAGATTTCAGTTTTGCTGTCCTTACTTACTTGCTTTGGTTTGTGGATAAAAAAGCAACATTTTGGTTCCTGATAGACAGTCAAGAGAAGCAGCTCACATTTCTGCAAAAGATGAAAGGTGATTCTCAATGGATGATCACTTAGGGAGAAAAGGTCTGCTTAAAATCCAAGATTCAATAAAAGACTCCTAGATCCCCTTGGACCTCTTTGAGACAAATATGAAACGTGGCTACTCATTGGAGTATGAATTTTACAATGGGTCACATGATCCAAGCACATCATGATTTACCTTGGGGTTCTCTTCCTTACCCTCTGTAAGACCATGTTCTTCTACCAACCAAAAAGAGAGACCTTCAACTTCACACTGACTCACCAGCTGCTCCTCAGGCAACATCTTCCTCTTCAGGACCTCAGATTCCTTATGAAATGCTTGATTTTCTTGGAACTTTGCCTGATCCTTTATCTTGCAGAAGACACAGCTCCATGGGCCACTGAGAGATCAGAGATAAAGTGAGCAAGGGCAGAGGCTGTGGACCAGCCTCCATTCCTGTGGCTGACAAAGACCTCTGTTCAAGAATGGTTTCCACCTAGCATTCAACTTCACTCTTGGAGGACACTGGACTGGCTCTCCATGTGACTTTGATGTGCAAATATAACCCCTACTATTATTAATGAGTGCTGTGAACCCAAGACGGTCCCATCAAAAAACTCAGTCTACACTGAGGGCTGTGTGACTCTGGGCAGGCATTCCTGGGGGCTATAAGAAAACTGGCTGAAGGAAGCCATGCAAAAAAAGCCAGTAAGTTACACTTCTCCATGTTTTCTGTATCAGGTACCTGCCATTACTCCTCTGAATGGGGGGTGACAAACTGTTTGATAAAACTAAGTCTTTCCTTCCCAAGTTAAACACCAACAAAATCCTTGACAAAGTCATCCCAAATTTCATTCATTTCAATGATCTGTCTTAAAAACACTGGCCTCTCCTTGTCCATTCAGTGTTCTTTTTCAAAGTACCCATTACAAGACACTCCTGAGGGGTGTTGGGAGCTGCATGTGGGCATTGTGAAAGAACTGATTCCTTCTGTGCTTTGGTATCATGTCTAACTAACCAGTAGAAGTGGTTTCCAATAATCCTCTGAGATGGTGCCCTGGAACTAGTGAGTGGTCTTTTGAATCCTCCTGTCACCAGAGGGCAATGTTCTCTTAGAGGATTTCCAGGAGAGATCAGTTCCTGGGTCACAGTAGTTTCGTCCACACTATTGATACCACCAGTCTAATCCCTTGTCAACCTCTTGGAATCTCACATTCTATCTCTGCCCAGAGATACAAATACAGCAAAGGCATGTTCTGGTGAGGGTGGGGGTGGGGTGCTGACATACAGGATTTCCAGTTCTCATGTAACCCAGAGTCAATTAGTTTGATAGAATGCTGGGGTGGATTTCTGTAGGCTTGACAGCCCATCTTTATCAATGTTGTTATTCCGTAGTTAGGAAAATGAATGCCTGGTTAAAGCCAACAACCACTGTATGATGCTGGCACCCCAGTGGAGCACATAGGTGACAAGGAGTGACACTTCTTTCAGGTAATCACTTTTCATTAATCTTTCCATAATTATTTCCTTTAATGTTCTGCTATGCATTCTGTAAACAGTTCTATATACTTTTGGATCTTAAGACCAAGGTCTTGTTCCCATCCTATCAATACGTATTCAACTGGAGATAGCAAACCAGCAGGATGTGTGAGTGTTGGGGGGTGGGGGGATGAAGTGTGTCCTGAGGAGGAAGGGCCGGGGGTGGGGGCAGGGCTGTCTTACTAACCTCTTGTCTTCCACAGGTGGGATGTGGCAATTTTCATGATAGAATTTCCCACAACTATCACAAGGGTACAAGTTCCCTCCTTGGCTGCACACTGCACACTGTTGTGAATTTTCCAGCTACAAGAAGAAATGTTGCAAAATATCATCAAGAGCCATGTGACCCCAGAATGCTGAAACATGTAGCCTTTGCCTAAACCAAGGAGGCCCAGAAATCTTTACTCCAAAGTAGATATTTCAAATACTTTTTTAATGTGTGTGTTTCTGAGTGTATATACATGCACCACAGCTGAGCAGTTGCCTGCAGAGGCCACAAGTGAGAATTGTATCCCCTGGCCTTACATTTTCAGGTGGTTGTCAGCTGCCATGTGGATGCTGGGAACCAAATCTGGGTCCTCTGGTTCTGTGGGACAATGGGTTGTACCCTGTCACTTGCATTTTAAATAAATGCTGATTGGCCAAGCCAGGCAGGAAGTAAAGGTGGGGCGACCAGGTAGGTAGTAGAGGCAGGACAATGAGAATTCTGGACAGAGGGAAGTTTCCGTCTGCAGTTGTCATCCAGACAAAGAGGAAGCAAGATGCGACTGCCTCGCCGAAAAAGGTACCATCCACGTGGCTAACACAGACAAGAAGAATGGGCTAATATCAGATGTAAAAAGAGTTAATAAGAACCTGAGCTAATAGGCCAATAAGTTTATGATTAATGTAGACCTCTGTGTGTTTCTTTGGGACTGAACGACTGTGGGACTGGGCGGGACAGAAACCTCAGACAACACTCTGGGAGAGCAGCAGAGCTCTTCTTAACTCTCTCTATGTCTCACCAGCCCCTCTCAAAATATGAAGGACTAGTATTGAACAGAGATTTACAGAATGGAATTCTGATATGAAATAAAGTTCAGGGAATTGCTGGGATATGTCAGACTAGAAAAATTTACATTGTAAAAAACAGTGACTCTGACATGGAAATAACAGGAACACCATTGCAATATCAACAGTAACAAAAAAGATGAATTAGAGATAACAACAAATATATTATTCAGAAAAGTCTAACTCCAAAATATAATGTCTTCATCTGGATTAATTAATTAATTAATTTCATCATCATTATTATTGGGGGGAGGAGCTCATGTAGCAAGGGCAAGCTTGGGTTCTGATTTTGTTGACTCAAGTTTCCAAAGTGGCATTTCTAACATTCAAGGAATTTGATCAGGAGAACTACCTAGGGTTGTTGAGCAGGTTCTACTATTAGAAGATGTGTGTTCCTTGGGCTCTGCTCTGTGCCCTCGACTCATTTGCCTCAATATTCACAGTTCCTTTTATGACCACTCTTTCTCTAGTCTTTCAGGTCTGCATTCTGGTCTTGTTTTGAGCCTCCAGCACTCACTCTGTGCTTCGCTAGGGAGGTCTTTATTGTTTTGGAACACTGTCCCTGTTCCTATGTCACAGTGACCCTCTATCCTCTCATCATATGAACCCTGACTCATCCCTGCCCCTCCCTGTCTCAGACACCCAGCCATACACTAGTCATGTTCATTCTAAATTTTATATCTCGCCTCATGCTTGTATAGGGCTTTATGCTATCAGGGTGCAGGATTCCTTACCCATGACATCACCATCAAGGGAAAATATCCAACAAGTCAGAACTGAAGTGAATAAAATAATTGTGGTTTCTCTTTTTACCCAGGCACTTATTATGGCACAAGATTCAAATTCTAGGCTGCAAACATGAATCTGGTCAATGGGATCTCTTATAGGTATCTTGAATGGCCCCTGAGGGACATGTTTGGAGGCATCAATCTCCATCAGGAACCCGAGGCAGGGAATCTTGCAATAGTCTCTGCTTTTTATAATAGCAGGTGAGGCTGTATTTGCTGAACACTGTTTTTAGGTTGCTGGGTCAAGATTTCTGAGTCATTTATTAAAAACACTGCAAAGTGAGTCCTGAGGAAGAGCAGGATAAAGGCAAATCTACATAGTGGTCCATTGTCTAGAAGCCTGGATGGGCCCTTAGGTTTATCTTTTTTAAGGTGGGTGTAGAATCCAGGCTCAGGCCTAGGTGATCACTGACTATTAAGGTACCATCCCCCAAAACAGCCAGCCCCCTTTTAGTGGTGCTCCCTTCATGATGCTAGAGTTTGAACCCAGTGAACCTGGAGAGTGGAAGACAAGCATTCTACTACTAGGTAAACACTTTACCATCAAGCCATGCCCTTGCCTCTTTCGTTTTTTTGTTTTTATTTTCATTTGATGTGCATGGATGCTTTGCTTTCATGTAAATCTATGCACCACTTGTGAGCCTGGGGCCCACAGAGGACAAAAGAAGAAGTCAGATTCACTGGAATTAGAATGACAGATGGTGCCAAACTACCAAGTGGATGCTAGGTTTTGAACCCAGATTCACAAAAGGGCAGCAAGTACTCTTATCCCTGACCCTTTCTCCAACTTCACCCTTTTAAACAAGAAATTTGTTCTCTTATTTAATAGTAATCATTAATATGTTACAGACTAAAAACACTGTGGAATTAAAAATTATTCCAGGCTTGAAAGTGTAGTCCAGTGGTAGAATGTTCAACCTAGCATGAATAAGGCCCTAGGTTTGACCTTGAACATTGAAAGAGGAAAACATAACAAGTATCTAGGATTCTCTCAACATCAATTTCAGTTCACTGAGTCTGGGCTGGATCACTGGATGCAAAAATATTCTGAGGGGTTCTAAATCACAGTCATCAGGTGAGATCTCTGTTTCCAAGTAGTGATCCATGGACCAGAAACCTCATCATCTGCCTCAGTCATCCAATGAGCTATCCAGACTCCAGAGATGAGAGCTCAATGCCTTGTCTCCAGCAGAGGAACAAAAGAAGTGTGGTTGGGCCTAAATATGATACCTTCATAGGTCAGAGGAAGTCCTGGAACTGGAGTTAGAGATGGATATAAGCTACCGTGTGAATGCGGGAATATACTTGGGTCTTTCGGAAGAGTAGTTAGTTCTCTTAACCACTGAGACTTATTTCCAGCCCTCAGATTTTTTTTTAAAAAAAACTACATTTTATTTATGTATATAGACACTGATGTGACATTCAATTAGAGATCAAAGGGCAAATTTTGGGAACCTGTTTTCTCTTTCCATCATATGGTTGCTGGGGATTCAACTCAGATCATCAGGTTGGGCAGCAAGTACCTTTAGTTCCTGGGTCATATTGCCAGTCCATTGTTTTACTGCTGTTTTTTTTTTTGTTGTTGTTTTTTTTGTTTTTTCGAGACCGGTTTTCCTCTGTGGTTTTGGGGCCTGTCCTGGAATTAGCTCTTGTAAACCAGGCTGGTCTCGAACTCACAGATATCCACCTGCCTCTGCCTTTCAAGTGCTGGGATTAAAGGCGTGTGCCACCACCGCCCGGCTGTTTTACTGTTTTTAAAAATTGTTCCCAACTCAGTCTCAATGTTTTAATGTTTAATGGAGCACTGGCCTCTTATATTGTAAAATATTTTAAAATATCAATCACAACAATACCATATTGTATTGTTCCATTTTTGCCATAATCAGTGTATTTAACAACTGTAATGTGACAGAGAGCACTACTAACAATTTGTAGATGATGACCTCAGACATCATGGAAGGAGACCTTGGAATAATTACCTTTCTCTTTTTCTTTGGTGGGTCTGGTACATACTTGTTCTGAAAGACAAAGATGTTGATGATGGGGTAAATCGTTGGTTTTATTTTGTATTTCTAACTGCTGTCTAGTTATTCTGTCTGAACGTACTATTGCTAAATATCACCAATAAAGGAAAATATCTAACAAGTTAGAGCCAAAGTGAATAAAATTATAATTTTTAATTTCTCTCTTCACCCAGACATTTACTATGACATAAGAAAGAACACACAATGTTCATATTCTAGGCTGCAAACATGAATCTGGTCCATGGGATCTCTTTTATAGATACCTAGAATGGCCCCTGAGGGACACGTTTGGAGGCATCTATTCCAACAGGACCCTGGGCAGGGAATCTTGCAACAGGCTTTCCTTTTTATAATAGCAGGTAAATTTAGAAGCCTGGATAGACCCTGAGGTTTATCTTTTTTAATGTGGGCGTAGAACCCAAATCTAGACAATCACTGCACTATTAAGGTACCATCCCCATATACATCCAGCTCTCTTTAAGTGGTGCTCCCTCCATGGTGCTGGAGTTTGAACCTGAAGCATGATAGACAAGCATCTACCACTAGGTAAACATTTCACCACTTAGCCATGCTCTTGTCCCTTTGATTTTTTGTTTTTACTTTAATTTTATGTGCATGGATGTTTTGCTTTCATGTATGTTTACGTTTTAATTGTGAGCTTGGGGCCCACAAAGGACAGAAGGTGTCAGATTCGCTGGAATTAGAATTACAGATGGTTGCAAGCCACCAAGTGGATGCTAGGTTTTGAACCCAGGTCCTTGGAAGGAGCAAGTGCTCTTAACCATTGAGCCTTTCCCCAACCTCCTTTTTTTTAAACAAGAAATTTGTTCTTTTATTTAACAGTACTCACCTACATGTTATAGACTAAAATCATTCACAGAACTAAAAGATTTCCAGGTTTGAGAGTGTGGTCCAATGGGAGAATGTTCAACCTCACATGAAAGGGGCCCTAGGTTTGATCCTTAACACTGAGGGAAAAAAACAAAACACATATCTAGGATCCAATTGACATGAATTTCAATTTACTGAGTCTGACCTGGAGCCAAGCACTGGATGCTTAAACATTCTGAGGGGTTCTAATGCACAGTCATCAGGTGAGATCTCTGCCTGCAAGCAGTGGTCCATGGACCAGAAGCTTCAGGATCTACCTCAGTCATCCAATGAGCTATCCAGACTCCAGAGATGAGAGTTCAATGCCTTGTCTCCAGCAGTGAACAAAAGAAGTGTGGGTGGGCCTAAATATGTTACCTTCATAGGTCAGAGGAAGTCCTGGGACTGGAGTTAGAAATGGGTATAAGCTACCGTGTGAATGCGGGAATATACTTGGTTCTTTCGGAAGAGTAGTTAGTGCTAATTCTCTTAACCACTGAGCCATCTATGCAGGATTTAGGTCTTTAAAAATTGCATTTTATATGTGCAAGTGTATCGACACTCATGTGACAATGAGGTAGAGAGCAAAGGACATAATTAGGGAGCCTGTTTTCTCTTTCCATCATATGGTTGCTGGGGATTCAACTCAGGTAATCAGGTTTAGTTCCTGGGTCATATTGGCAGTCCATTGTTTTATTGTTTTAGAGAATTGTTCCCACCTCAATCTTAAATGTTTTAATGTTAAATGGAGCACTTGCCTTTTATATTGTATAATATTTTAAAATATTAATCACAACAATACCATATTATAAAATCCATTTTTACTATAATCAGTGAATTTAACAAATGTAATGTGACAGAAATCACAACTACCAATTCGTGGATGATGGTCTCAGACATCATGGAAGGAGATCTTGGAATAATTACCTTTTTCTTTTTCTTTTGTGGGTTCGGTAGCAATTCTTTCTGAAAGATAGAGATGTTAATGATGGGGTAACTCTTTGCTTTTATTTTGTATTTCTACCTGCTTTCTAGTTACTCTGTCTGGATTTTCCATTGTTAAATACAAGTTGTCATGGAAATTGCTCCCCATGTGCCCTAATGCTGAGTCAAGGACACATTTAAACCCCCTTTTCTGGCCTAGTGATTTTCACAGTGAGTTCAGACAAGTGATGGTGCTTGATCTCCCACAGTTTCCAGACACATTGAGGGCTGGTTTCTAATGCCCTTCTTTCCCCATGCAGAAGGCCCCACCCTACACTTTATCAGAACTCTCCTTTGTGATCCAGCTCAGGAAAGACTGTTCCATAACAAGACTTTTAGTCCTAAATCAAGAAATAGCCATCCCACCCCTTGGCTTCAGCATCATTTGCTACAGACTCCTCTCCTCCACAGTAGTAACTGCAGGTAGGGTGTGAAAGTGCAGCCTTGCCCTGGCCAGGGGCTCACATCTGTACTCCCCATGCTTTAGATGCAGCTCAGTCGATAGTTGATGAGCAAACTTTTTTGTTTTATTGTGAGGATGACACAGGGATAGGCCATCTGAGATATGTGACAGAAAGATCTGTGTACCCCACATCAAAAGAAACAGGTTCTACTACTAAGGGAACCTCTTGATTTTCCCAATTCAGGGAGTTGATATAAATGAAGATCAAAGAACTTATTTCAAAATGCAATTTCAAATTATTTTCCTTTATTTAATCTTATTTTTGGCTAGATAGAGTTGAGGTTGGTCTCACTCTGTAACCTCTTCTGGCATATACTACAATGTCTAGGCCATCCTTGAGCTCAGAACAGTCTCCCTGCCTTAGTCTCTACAAGTGTTGGGATTACAGGTTTGGCTCACCACACTCAGGTATTCAAAAACAAGTGTGAGATGAGGACCTGGGAGAAGCACTGCTGGAACATTCTGTAATGCAGGCATCCACACGGGGGCATTCTTTTTAGATGTGTAACTATATATTATTTTCATCACTGGAACTTCAAGTTTAAATCATAAATTTAATTTAAATTATAGTCATACTACCAAATTTTATGCAACTAGTTAGTGGTAAAGGTCACAGTCTTTTCATCCAAAGGATGCAAGTTAATACATTTAAGAATATTAAGCTATAATGCAAGCTGGTCATTGTAATGTCTGAGTGCATGCTGGCAACAACCCATGCCATGGAACTTGGCTAAAAAGAATCATAACAGTATTGTTGACACTGACATTTTGCCAACATCTGGTGTCAGTGAATTCTGACAGTGAAATCCTTGGTTGAAGAAACCATTCCCACTTAAGAGCTTCTAAACTGTTGTCTTGCAGTTTACATAGAAGCTTTTAATCCACCATCTTTTCTTGGAACCATGGAAGCTATCTGCCGCAGAATACCTCTATCAATTCTTTCAGGGTCCATTCATAACAATGTATGCTTTTCTTCCAGTTCTGGGAACTTTTAAGCTTTCCTCTGATTTCAAACTCCCTGGGCGTGAACCACTCTTCATTGTCACTCCGTATACTCTTCTCATAGGTGCCTGTAAGACCAAGACCAACTGAGCAGCCAGCTACGAAAACACCTGCTCTTGCCCATAATGTCCTGGGTCTGGGGCTGAGGTTTAGTCTCAGGAGGATGTGCATTTTCCTCTCAGTCATCAGGAGCCACACACCCATCTTGTTAGGTGATGGAAGAAGGTCATTAGTTAATTAATAAAGAAACTGCTTGGCCTCATAGATTAAAACATAGGTGGGTGGAGTAAACAGAAGAGAGTGCTAGGAAGAAGAGGAAGTGAGCTCAGACTTGATAGCTCCCCTCTCCCAGGCAGACGCGATGAAGCTCTGACCCAGGATGGACGTAGGCTAGAATCTTCCTGGTAAGCACACCTTGGGGTGCTACATATATTATTAGAAATGGGCTAGTCCAGGTGTAAGAGTTAGCTGATAAGAGGCTAGGTATAATGGGCCAAGCAGTGTTTAAAAGAATACAGTTTGTGTGTTGTTATTTTGGGGCATAAGCTAGCCAGGCGGCTGGGAGCAGGGCAGCAGGAACGCAGCCCAAATCTCCCCACAACAGAATGGCGTCCAACGTGGGGCAACTGTATCCACAGAAAGCCTGAGAAGGCTTGGGAAAGATAACAGTAAAGCATGTTTTCTTGGTAGCAGCAATTTCTTGGGTCTCTTCTGTTTGCTAGAGGCAAGTGCTCTCATCTAAGAGAGGCTTCCTGACTTAGCTTTAGCTGCAAAACCATGCAGCTCTTAAGAGGTCCTGCCATGAAACACTTAAATGGTGTTGATAAAAGCTGACTGAATGCTTGTTTGTTTTCAGCAGTAGCAGGAAAAAACCTGTGTTGTTTTAAAATGCCGGCTTTCTGGGTCATTCTGCCAGGGCAAACTCTGACTCTTTCAAGCAGGCGGTCCTGACTATGGAGGTTTTGAGTGTTAGACAACACTTAACTTGCTTGCTGGCAGGGACCTTGAAACGCCATAGAGTTGTTATAAAAATGGCTCTTGTGGTATCTCTGCCATGAGGCTGGAAAGCTAAGGAATGGGCTGGAACCAGCTATCAAAGCCACGGCTTTAATCCTACCCATATTGCTCAGTAATTTAAAGGCTCATGTGTTCAGAAAAAGAGAGAGAGAGAGATACAGTAAAGAGAGATTCACAAAAAAAGAAAAGCTCTAAATGATTTACAGTGTGTTGAAAATATATGCAGACTAAAAGTTAAAGTTCTTAAAGTAAAAAACAAAAAAAGGAAGAAAGAGAGTAGTTGGGTATGGTAGGACACACCTTAATCCCAACACTTGGAAGGCAGAGGGAGATTGACCTCTGTGACTTCAAGGTGTGGTAGCACATGCCTTTAATCCCAATGCCTAGGAGGCAGAGTCAGAAGGATCTCTGTGAGTTCAAGGACAGCCTGATCTTCAGAGTTATTCCAGGACAAAGATATACAGAAAACCTGTCTCAAAAAGTAAAAATAAACAAAATAGAGTTAAAATAAAGCCATACAAAGATGGAAAATAAACAGAGAATTTTGATACTGTATGCTATTATGCTCTCTTTGAATTGTTTGAATGCTGAGGAAGGAGCAACAGCTGCTAAAAGATATTTGTTATAAATGCTGCTGAACTAATGCAACATAGATATTTTGAAAATACCTTGACTTCAGAATTTGGATCTAAGGATATGATACTTTGGAAAGGAGTTTCTTCTTTTGTTTTCACAGAGGATGAGACACTATGGATTGCTTCCATCCCAATATGGTATGCTGGACCACGCCCTCCTGAAAGCTTGCTGTGAACACCTTCAGAAAATTACTTTATTTAACTGCCAACTGAGATGAATCTAGCACACAGGTTATACCATGAAAGACCTAAATAACTGCACCCCCATTCAGCAGGAAGCAGTTTGGAGAGAAAAAACTGCACCCATGTTCCCAAATATTGTTTATAAATGTATTTTTTACATTTAAAGGGGGGGATATGATATAGATATGAATAATTTGCATTAGTATAGATTTTGCTTTATTGATAGAGATTTAAGGTCAATTTTGTTATATGTATATGTATTTCTGATCTTGATTAAGGCATTGTGACTGTGTAGTTCACTTAAAAATGTGATGAATATAGGTTGTTAATAGATAATCATAATAGTCAAGTTTGTAGTCATGTTAGTTAAGATTTTCTAGATGTACATAGATGGTTTTTAGATAGGCATTCTTCATATTTCTCAAAGATTATAGAATATGGCATTTTAAAGTTTTAATAACTTAGGGTTTTCATGACAATGAGACATGTCTGCTCCTGGAAACACCAATCTACTTCAAAAGGAAGATGGGCATTGAAGAGGCTCCTTATGGAGTTTGATAGCCATTTGGGCAAGAAACTGCTCTTGTCTGGACTGATGCATAAACTGGACACAGAGAACCCTCAGAGAGAGGACTGCTGAACTTGCCTAAAGGTGAGATGACCTTTTGAGATTCCTGATTCATGAAGGAGTCTGCGAGACATTCTGCAGAACACAGCAGATAGTGACTGAACTGACTTTGAAATTTCCTGCTTCATGGAAATGTCTCTGGATACTACGGGCCTGTAGGCCGAAGATGGATGCCCCAACGGTACAGAGAAACTTTGGGTGACTGTCCAGGCAGCGAGATGTCTCTGTTATTTCTAGAGTTTGGAAGTTGCTTATTTCTTTTTTGCTTAGGTAATATTGTATCCTTCTCGAGTCTTTGATGGAGTTGAAGAATAGATAGATAGTTATAGTTTTCCTTAGTTATGATAAAGATAAAATAGATGTAAATATTGTAATTTTTACTTGATAACTGTTTTGTTATGTTTAATTTTGCTATGTTAAAGTTAAAGCCTTCCTTTTTTTGTTTAAACAGAAAAAGGGGAAATGATGGAGGAAGGTCATTGGTTAATTAATAAAGAAACTGCTTGGCCTCATAGGTTAAAACATAGGTGAGTGGAGTAAACAAAATAGAATACTGGGAGGAAGAGGAAGTGAGCTCAGACTAGATAGCTCCCCTCTCCCGGGCAGACGCGATGAAGCTCTGACCCAGGATGGACGTAGGCTAGAATCTTCCCGGTAAGCGCACCTTGGGGTGCTACATACATTATTAGAAATGGGCTAGTCCAGGTGCGAGAGTTAGCCGAGAAGAGGCTAGATATAATGGGCCAACCAGTGTTTAAAAGAATACAGTTTGTGTATTGTTATTTCGGGGCATACGCTAGCCAGGCGGCTGGGAGCAGGGCGGCAGGAACACAGCTGAAAGCTCCCCACAACAGACAGGTAAGGTCAGAGAATGACTACCACTGACGTTATCTGTAGGGTAAGCCAGCCCCTTAGGGGACGGGCTTGCCTCGGGCAAATGTTTACTTATAAATCGGGCGCGCGGGAGTCCGCGCGCCCCTTCTGCTTCCTATACTCCACGGGAAACTTGATCCTGTAAGTCTATTTCTTCATTATAGCTGTATATATTCTATACAATCTGCTTGCATTCATTTACGCCGCTACAGTCATCCTTTATGAATTCATCTATTTTATGTGTATTGTTGCTTTGTCTGTGTGTCAGTGCACATCATCTGTGCTTACTGCCCACAGAAGCCAGAAAAGGGCACTGAATCGCCTGGAACTGTAGTGATAGGTGGTTGTGAGCTAAGTGTGGTTGCTAAGAATTGCATCTGCATCCTGTGGAAGAACAGTCAGTGTGCTTAACCATGAAGCCATTTCTCCAGCCTTTGATATTACTTTTAAAAGCATTCTACTGTAATATTAAAAGATTTTTTTTAAAAAAGAAATTCCCTAAAACATGACTAGGGTTCTTTTTCCTCCTTTTACTGTGACCTAGTGTAGGGCCAACTTCCATTTCAAAAAGGTGAGTGACGGCAGAAAATTCCCTGCTGGGTTCTTGTGCACCCAGCCATGAGGAAGCTGTCACCACAGCTACTTCTATAACATTACTCTTCAAACTCATGACAGTTGGTTATTTCTCATATTTGAGATTCACGACTAGTGTAGGGTTAAGACAGCCCCTTTAGGGGGCGGGGTTTGCCTCGGTCGAATGCCTACAGATAAATGGGCGAGCGGGAGGCGGCTCCGCCCTTTCCTTCCTACCTCCTGTGCCACGCGGGAACTTTGGTTCTGTAAGTTTATCATTAAAGTGGTAAATATTCTTTCATATCTGCATTGCATTTATTTACGCCGATACATTTGGCACCCAACGTGGTGCTCGAACCCACGACCCTGAGATGAAGAGTCTCGTGCTCTACCAACTGAGCAGTCCCTCTTCAATTCCAAGCCTGTTGATAAGAGATATTTCAGAGTTTCTGTCTCAGGTCAGGAGCCATGAAATGGGACAGAATAAGAATAATTTTATATTTGATAAACTTTCTTTGCCTTTCCTCATATCTGTGTCTTTCTTTATATGTCAGTATATGTCCTTGTTGTTAATGTTTAAATTTCCCATATCAAGCAACATATTTTCCTACAGTAATCTTTGAAGTTTCCAGGATAAAGATGGGGCCCCACAACATCAACTCAATCTGGCTTTTATGAAGTCATGAATTTTTTTTTTGAGGGCTAATATTAGACCTATTTTTTGGTACCAACTGCAAGAGACAATTTCGAATGATGCACATTTTTGACAACACTCTGGCCGGACCGTCTCAAAACGCTCAGAGACTAGTTATAATTTTCTTAAGTCAAAAGTTAATTTGGGAATTTTACCATCATTTGCTTTCACAGGGGCCCCTAAGAAGAACGTCGCCCCCATGTCAGCTAGAAGCAATCTAAGAGGACAACGTCCCCTCTCCCAACAGAGTTTGCCCACAGGGCTAGGGACATCTTTTAGTGGTTGGTTTAGGGTTGAGGGGATGGGGAGATATTGTATGGAATTAGGGGTTTATACAAAAAAAAGGGGGGATTAACTGGTTTGATGGGATGATTGATATTTGTGACTTACTGTTTTTAGAAAATTATATTGGTACTGTTTCTTGTATATTGATATATTGAATATTGAATGTGAGTGTTCCAACCTCTATTTTTGTATAAGAGTATGCTTATATTGTATGGATACATCTATCATATCACAATGTACATTTCTACCTCTGGTACTATTTATGTAATAACATTGTTTACATTTTGATATGTAATGACATTGTTTACAGGTGAAGATCATTGTCTTCATATATTGCACAGTTGTTCATTCTCTTAGTTTTCAAATTAGATAGGTATTGAGAATTATATGTTTGTCATATTTATTTTTAGGTTAATCAGGTCTTTTAGATACATAGAGATTATTTTTAGTATAGATAGTATAATCTTCAACCTCTTTGAAGAGCTATAGAAAATGGCCTTTAATCTAACCTAGAATTCTGTGCCAACGAGACACAATTACTCCTGGCAACACCATTCTACTCCCAAGAGAACGTTGAGCACCAAAGACACTCCACTGGGAACTTGTCTTCTTGGCAGAACTGGCCTTTGGGTTAAGAAAAGCCCATACCTCAACTACTGACTAAGATATGAAACAGGATTGTCTTATCTTGCCAAGACAGGGTAGGATAATTCTAAGAAAGTTCCTTGCATTTGATAATGGTATGTCAGTTATGTTAGGCCTTAGCCAAAGTTGGTTGACTCAACATTGCAAACGAGACTTTGGGTGATTGCCCAGGTAGTCAGTTGTCTCTGTTATTTGTTGCCCATTTTGGATATCTCTCATTTGTTAAGTAATATTTATTCCCTTCTCAGATCTTTGATGGAGTTGAAGATTATTTAATAGTAGTTACTCTCTACATTATTTAGACTCCTTGAGATAGAATGCCTAGCAAAACTTTTGTTCTCAATATTGTTTGTTATATTTATCATTTGTTATTATTATTTATAGTTATATTTGGTTTAGTTCTGTCTTATTTAGACAAAAGGGGGAGATGTAGGGTTAAGACAGCCCCTTTAGGGGGCGGGGTTTGCCTCGGGTGAATGCCTACAGATAAATGGGCGCGCGGGAGGCGGCTCCGCCCTTTCCTTCCTACCTCCTGTGCCACGCGGGAACTTCAGTTCTGTAAGTTTATCATTAAAGTGGTAAATATTCTTTAATATCTGCATTGCATTTATTTACGCCGATACAGACTAGTTGATGTCAAAAGTTATTTTGGAAATGTTATCTACAGGGACCAGTTAAATTACATGCAGGCAGTAGAATCATAGGGAAAACACCTATTAGTTGCTGACAAAAGAACTATATTGGGGCTAGGGAAACGGTTCAGTGGTGAAGAATATTAGCATCCAGAGGAACCTGTCTCCACCCCTTAAGGATATGAAGGAGTCCATCTAACCCCGTGTCACCACTGTGTGCAGGCAGGCAGCATCCTTTCTCTCTAAAAGGTGAGACTCTGTCTACTTCTCTTTCTCCTTCCTCTTCCCCCCTCTGCATCCCTCTCTTTCTCTCTCTATCTCTCTGTTGCTCTCCCTTTCTTTCTTCCTTCCCCCATTCCCTTTATCTCAATAAAAGTCCTCACTTAAGCTCTGTCTGCATGGCGTATTTGTCTCTCGCCCATCGTGAGGCCTCTGGCTCTCACCCGCCAAGGTCCCTCTCACACAGAATAGTTATATTTGGTGCCGCCAGACATGATAGGCTCTCCTGGAAGTTCCTCCTGAGGACCAGCAGTTTGAGAACTGCCAGAACCCTGTACTTTTAAACCCAATCATTTTTCCAACTAGGGATTGCTGGAATTCTATATCCAACAGCAGGAGAATTGGCAGTAACAGTGGGATTCTTCCCTCCCCGACCATGTTTCTATGACTGAGGATTCGTCTTGGCCATGATTTCTTGTCTTCTGGGTTTGTTCAAAAGACCCAGTACTGGGCACTCATAGTCTCAGACTTGGAGCCCTGATTTTGTGCTCTGTGGACCATGAAATCAGCCTGTACCTTTCAGATCAGATCCTCCCTTAGACCCTGGGACCCTGGAGATTACAGGCTTAGGATCTTTACCTCACTCATGGAAACTACACCTCAGTCAGATATCAAACCATATAGCGGCTTATTGGCAGTCTACACTAATCCACCAGTGATCCATAGTAGGAGGCACAGCCTCTGTTCCTTTTCCCTTTTCTCTTTGCTTGTTTGTCTGCTTCTTGTTCCCGATATACGATCTAGCCACGCTAAAACTCTGTCTTCTGCCCGTTGCAGTAGCCTCCTCCCCTCTCCCACCATAGCTAAGCCTGTCTCAGGGTGGGATCCTCTCTCTGCCTGGAAACACTCTGTCTCATTAGGCATCTCTTGCTCTTCTGTTTGTCCTGTCTCTGCCGCTGCCACCGCAACTTTCAGCCTGGGATGGTGAGTTCCTCTTTCCCGTCTGGCTGCACTTCTACTCTGTTTCTCTTCTCTGTGCTCCAGTTCATGATGTGCCTTCTGCTTCCACCTACCCAGCAAATGCTCAGCCACCCTACCCACAGTGGGCTGTCCTGAGACCAACAGCATCTCCTCGGGAATACCTTTTGTTTCCTGTCTGTTTCATATGTATGGAAGAATGCGCAAATGATGTGGTCACATGAATGTGATTCTGAATGCCTGCATTCCTTATGTGTGTCTTATGAAGTGCATATGGTTTTAAATCTATAAGGTAGCTTACGACACGTGGGCTCGTGCCATCTTGGCTGGGATAAGTAAGATGACCTAACTGCCATCTTTGCTAAGGATGACCATGAGACCTTTTGTTCAAGGTTAAAAGAGATACTTCACCACCATCTTGATGAAGGGCAAGAAGGACAGGTGAGGTGACCCAGTCATCATCTTTACTAAGGTTGCTCTTTGTCTCGTCTCACCTTTTACTCAAGTTTTCGTCTCTACTTCCTCTTATACTGACTCTGTTGAGTGTGGTATATTTGTGCAGTGGTGTGTTTTGTGGCAGGGCCCACCAGAGCAACCATGTCGCGCAGGAACCATCCTACCCGCGTCACCTGCAGGGAATCAGCTTCTTTTCTTGGCTCCAAAGCCCTGCATATGTCTGTCTACTCTCTCTTTCTTTACATGCCCTGTCCTTTTATGACAACATGCAAGTCAGAGACATAGAAGCCAGCTTCCAATTGCTCAGTATTCTTGTGACTTTTGATTTAAGTTTGTGTGACTATAAGCTAGCTTTAACTCTGTATGTGTGTGTATGCAACTTAAATTCAACTGCGTGTACGTGTACACGTGCTTATTGTTAAAAATGCTGTAAACAGTTCTAATGATTTTTCTTCATTGTACCTCTTTCTAGAATAAGAAAACAAGTCTAGAATATTTTAAATCAGTATGCACTTTTAGAAATGATAAAATTTTATGGCTAGATCTGTTACAACATACTGTATATGTGATTCAACTCTGTTTAAAAATGTATTTTATATTCTGATAAAAATTTAAGTTTAGAAAGATCTATTTCAGATTAACAAAAGCTAACTTAGAGATTTACACTACCCAGCCCTTCCTGTAAGCTGTTCTTCACTGTTGTCAATTTTTAATGTTAAGTTTTTATTGAAAAAGGAAATTTTTCTTTACCCTTTGTCCTTCTCAAGCATAAATCTGACCTGCTAAGATAAAAACCAGTTACAGCGAAGATGGAGGACTTTGGGTAAAACATTTTTCCGCAACGGCTCAGCTTGGATTCAGTTCTCCAGGCAGATCCTGTGCTAGTGTCATTGTAATCATTACTCAAATACACCCAACAGACAGCCCTCAGATGCTCAGAGATATGGAGAGAACGGCATTTAAAATGTTTATTTAAAAAAGGCCTTTTTTAATAGAGAAACGGGTCAGCTCCTGGCATCACCCCTTATTTCTCCAAAAAAAAGATGGATGGGAACAGGAGAACGTCCAACTAGAACTTGCTTCACAAGTGGCAGCACTAGCCACTGATCAAAACTGCTTTTCACCTCAGCTGCTGTCAAGACCCTCTTCAGACTGTGGACAATGGAACACTGGAATCGACTACCTCATATTACTAGACAATAGGTAGACTGATCTTCCTACAAATTCCTAAACCACGGGATCTTCTGAAGACTGGCATGTCTAGACCTAGTAGCAGAAGAGTGATGTTGCCCTTAGTAACCATGGAGGATCCTGGGGAGTGACTGTCTAGGGAGCCAATAAAGTAAGTCTCTGCCATCTTTAATCATTATAATCCTTCTCAAGTTCTTTGCTGCAGTTTGACAACTGGTAGCTTTGCCAGCTTAACAGCAGGAACCAAGGCTGCAACTGCTCTCTCAGTTCTCTATGTAAAATTCAGCACACCGGCCTCACCGCATCTCTCTGTCTGCCTCTCCTTTTCTTTCTATCCCTATCTCTCTTTCCCTTTCTCTCTTCCATCCTCAATTCCCTTTATCTCAATAAAACTTAAGCTCTGCCTGCATGGCATATCTGTCTCTTGCCTGCCATGAAGCCTCTGGCTGTCACCTGCCAAGATCCCTCTCACCCAGAATCATTACAAAGGGCACTGCGGCTCTTGCAGAAGACCCAGGTTCAGTCCTCAGAACCCACATGGGGCTCACATCCATGACTCCAGATCTGATGTCCACTTCTGGTTTCCATGGCCACCAGGCACACTCGGTGCATAGACACATGCAGCCCAACACTCATAGTCAGAAAGTAAAAGTAAATCTTAAAGAAAAACTGTGCTGTGGAAAGGAAGATCAACCATGATGGAGGACCAGTGGCACTGTACCCTAACAATCACAATTTCCACAGCATTTCATTTCCATTATCTTTTTTATCATAACAATATGGTGAGAGAAATGTTATTCTCATTTCAAAGTAGAAGAGGTTTAGTATTAGGGAGCCTGATGCAGACGACAGAAAAACTTGACTTGAGGTTGAGCTATGGTTTCAAAGTCTCCCCCCAGAAGTCATATATCGAAAACCTGGTCCTTGACAAGGTGGTATGTGAGGTGGCACTAGATCATGGAGGGTGCTGCCTTTGGGAGGGATTAAGATAGTTCTCATGGGATTCCAGCCACTGTCTGGCTTCCTGTCTTATGGTGGGATCTCTACCACCTCCACGTCATACCCCTGCCATAATACCATCTGCCCTCAGTCTCTCTCCAAAGGCCCTTATATGAGGCTGCCTGATCTTGGCCTTTTAGCCTCTAAATCTGTTTGTTAAATAGAGCACCCTGAGTTGAACATTTCAGTAGAGCAAAGAACACTGGACTAATACACCAAGAGAGCTGAGGTTAGAGTGTATTCAAATTCCAATACAAATCCTCTGTGTTTATTTTTTTTAAACTTAGCTTAAAGTCTGACAGAGGTTACAGCTAATGGACCCACAAAGGTTGATGCTGACTTTCTCAGACACACACATTTCCTACCCAGGTGTGTTAGGGCTTACTCTGGTATGAGATGCTAAACAGGCATCTTATTACCCTTTTTCACAGGGGGAAGGGGAGGTAGCCTGATAGGCCAGGGACGTATGACATTTAAACTCTCAAGACTGCAGTCTAGGGTGCAGCTCAGTGAGAGAGCCTTTGCCTCACAGGCACAAGGCCCTGGATTTAATCCTAATAGTACAAGAAAATGAAAAAGAAAAAAAAACAGCAATGCCCTTATTGCTGCTCCTCCCTTGGGTTTGGTGCAGAAAAGAATGAACACAACAGGCCTGAGACTCTCCAAAGAAACACCACCATGCGGAGTCAGACTTTGGCTATAGTCTGCAAATGTGACTTTGGAGAGAGCTTCTGTCAATGCCAAAATCACAGAGTAACTCTCCATGCCGAGACCATTTATACACAGCTCACTTCCCACAGGAGACCCATTTTCCTCTTGAGTATCTGGATTAGGTGTGCGCTATGCAGATAGGTACCTGCATAACTCCATGCTGTTAGAAGCCCTGATTTGGGGCTTGGGCAGCCCCTTGGAAGAAAGCCTTTCACACTTTCATTGCTGGGGTAGTTGATTGCACCCTGTGTGTCCCCACTGGGAGAACAATGTTAAGTATTTTCGGCTCCTCTGGACTTGGCCTCTCACGCCCTCTTCTCATTTGTAACTTGACCTCAAATCCTCACTTCAGTAATGGGTGTGACGTTGCCAATATCCTGAGTCCCGCAACCTGACTCTGGGATGAGACACCCCCAACACAGGTGCCCATCTCATACATGGTGCCATTGTCCAGGTGAAGAGCACAGAAAATCTGAAACTCACCTTTCTTAAATTTCTCCACATACAGAGTCCCCTCAGCAGTACCACATGTCACCGGATGCTCAGGACGGTTAAAATCCACATTGCTTTGTCTGGGATCTGTCAGTCCTGCAGGGACATATTTTGCTTTATTCTAGAACTATGCACGCCCTTCCCTCTATAAACTTTGGCATCTTGTTTCTGCAACTAATTCCCAGGAATTACTTATACTTGAAGGTATTTTTTTTTATGAATGATTAGATTCTTACAGATAACAACCTGCTCTGCTCCTATCCTCTGAACTGCATAGTGGCTGAAGCCTTGTGTGTCAGAATCCCAGCTCTCAAACAGGTTGGTTGGTCACAGCAGCCACTGTACAGAGACTTTGCTAAGAATATTTTGAATAGATCGTTCTCATTTTGCAATGACTTTGGAGTTCTGCATATGGGAATGATAACTCTCAAATTTTGTTCTGCTGTTGGAGGCATCTCCGGTAGAGGGGGATGGAAGGGGACACCCAATGAGGTGATGTCATCACTCTCCTTTCTTCTGATTTGCTGTCTTTCTCCTTTCCTGAGCTTGCCTGAGGCCTCAAGCAGTGGCTCTAGAAGATTCTGCAATTCTATAGGAGCCCTGCATACCATTCTATGGGTGCTTGTGTTAGACACATAAAGCCATGAGAGTGTTTAAATTGAAACAATATGGTTTTGATATTGCTACCTGATATGTCAGCTAAAACATGGCTGACAGTGTACATGGGGGGGTGCGTGGGGACAATGAGATAGCACATTTAGTTAGCTGACACTAGATATCTGGAGACCCCAAAGTAATTAGTGATGTCATGTTTTAGATAATCAGTTCTGGTAGAGAGTTGCTTTTGCGTGGCCTTGAGTGATGTGGGAGTCTGCTCTTTTGTGTTGATTTCATTGGTTAAATAAAGAGACTGCCTTGGCCCTTTAAGAGGACAGAAAATTAGGTAGGCGGGGAAAACAGAACAGAATGCTTGGAGAAAGAAGCTGAATCAGTGAGTCACCATGATTTTCCCACTCCAGACAGACGCAGGTTAAGATCTTTCCTGGTAAGCCAGCTCATGGAGCTACACAGATTATTAGAAATGGGTTAGATCGATATGTAAGAGCTAGCCAATAAGAAACTGGAACTAATGGGCCAGACAGTGTTTAAAAGAATACAGTTTCCGTGTAATTATTTTGGGTAAAGCTAGCTGTGCAGGCAGCCAGGTGCCCGGGACGCAGCCCACCGCTCCTATTACAACACTTGAGACCACCTTTACCAGCTTGCCTGCCTGTATGTGTCTATCTGCAGGCTTGTGTGTCAAGTTACCCGTAGTGAGCTAACTGAGATAGCATGGAGAGTCAAGGAACCAGAGCTTCCTAGCCTTGCATACAGAAAGAATCACCTTGGTTTTTAGCCAGGCTTCGAGAAGCAGGTAAAACAGGAAGAAATGGATGTATCAAGGACATAGGTAAAGTTTTCTCACCACCTCTTGTTTGTCCCCCAGTATAAATTGCTCTTAATTGAGCAGTGTCCAAGAATGTGATTGGACCAATTTTGGTGATAGCTGTATGGTGGGGGTGATAGGTTACCTGCACTGGGGGGTGGTGCTCTGTGTGAGACACTGTCATTCATGATGCCAAAGTCCTAGATATGCCCATGGTAAAGTCCCCACTCCTCTTTCCCTCCACCCCGTGGTCCCACAGGAAGCAACCTGTGCTCTGTCTGCTCTTTCCACTTATGTAAAGTGACCAAATGGGAGCCTAGCCTTGACTGTAGCCTCAGTGTGTTCCACAACAACCCTCCCTGAGCTGTGTGGGTTCTGCTCTCAGTTCCTCTCTGTTTAGACCTTCTTGGACTTGTGATCTATTCCTCTATTTCTACCCAAGCTAATTGAAGCCAAAGAAACAAACATGTGCTTTACTCTCTCCCAGATTACATGTGTTAAGGAGCTGGTGGTCTGGCTCTGGATTCCTGCAGGTACAGTGCAGATGGGAGGTAAAATGCCCTGGTGAAGTAGGACTCAACTAGTCTTGGCTGTTCTAGTAATTTTTTTAAAAACTTTAAATATCTACTTTTTAAAAAATGAGTTTTTTATCTTTATTTTCTGTGCATTGGTATTTTGCCTGCATGTACGTCTGTGTGAGGGTATCAGATACCCTGGAGGGAGAGTTACAGGCAGCTGAAAGCTGCCATTGGGGTGCTGGGAATTGAACCTAGGTCCTCTGGAAGAACAGAGAACTCATAACTGCTGAGCCATCTGTCTAGCCCAGGTCTTCTAGTGTTAATGGCCACCTAATATTAGCAAAACTGTACATGGACCATTTAAAAAAATAATGTAACCACAACCACCACATGGTATTTTAAATAATTTCGTTAATAATGCTATCATCCTAAGAGAGAGAGGTTGTCAGGGTGTGAGTCTTGGGATTTCTCAGGGTATCATCAGGTGTCGGGATGACTGTGAACAGTGTACCAGGACCCCAAACCCTGGGTCCGGGCTCTTGTCTAAGCATGCTGCATAAAGCACAGAAGGGGACAGAGAGTGTGATCCTGCCAGTGTCAACCTTCCCTACTCCAGTCTTCCTGAGAGAGGCCACATTTCTTTTTCTGTCCCCTTTTTATTGTTGCTGTTTATTTATTTGCAGAGATAGGGTCTCACTCTACACCCTATGCTTGGGTAGGGCTCAGTATGTAGCCCAGGAGAGAGAGAGTACTTTTTTCTGAACATAGTTGTCAGACATTTCTTTCAAGTCAAGCCGAAGGTTTGGCATGACCAACACATGAATCCTGTCTCTGGATACTGCAGGGAAGACAAGACTATCAGACTCGTTCCCATGTTCTATACAGATGAAGGTTATGGCTAAAGATCGTCAGGTGTATCTGGTGACTGGGCTGAGAATTGGCAAGGGAATTTATGAAGAAGCATGGTTCGTTTAGCCTAGAAGGAACTCTGGAGAAGGGAACTTGATGGGTATATTTGGGAGATACACTGCCCATGGTTAGAGCATGAGGCTGTTGATCTTCTAGAAAGACATTTGATGTCCTAATTACAAAGCAAGTCAGTCGCTACCAACCTTGGGCACTGCTTTTGCTGGACTAAGTAAAAATTTATGTTGATACACATACGTGCATACGCACATATAGACATACAGTGAGATAGCAGGTTGCATGGAGGAAGAGGGGGAAAGGAAATCAAAAGAGAGGCAGGAAGGAGGGAGAAAAGGAGAGAAAATGAACAGTTAGTTTAGAACAATGATTCAGCAATTTGTCATATTTGGACTGTGGTCTCAGTGGGGCAGACTCCTCTCTCTGTGCTCAATTCACCTCTTCACAGCAGTTTTCTGTGGCTGAAATTGAAGCTCGAGCAGCTGCAGACGGCACAGAAGACTTTCAATGTAGAGAACAGATGTGATGGGGCAGAAGTGAGGGTCTGAGGAGCTGATTCGGGCAGCTGTACAGGTCTCTCAATGGACGACAGCAGGACTGGCTGCTCCACCTTGCCTTCCAGCCAGTTACCCAGAAGCCATGGTAGATGCTCCCCAGACTGGAGAGGCAGCTATCCATGGTGCTTACCAAGTTGCTTGGAGAGTTATACACTGTGAAGCCACCCAAAGAGCTGGGGTGGCCTTGACAATAGTCAATCTAACATGCTACTTAACTTACAGATGAGTTCAGCTGAGACATAAGGGAAGAGATGACTGACTCAGGTGTTGGGGACCAAGAAGCCCCCCGACCTAAAGTACTGGCCAATCTTCCTCATCCTCTCTGCAAAAACAGCTTGCTGCCAGAACAGCTTGCTGCACAAACAGCTATGACACAGTTCTCAGAACGGCCTAACCACAAGGTGTTCCAAAACACGGCCTAATCACTAGATGTTTCTAGAGATATATTGCTTCCTCCCTGGCCTAGGGCGCGATAGTTTCCGTTCCCCTCTAACCCTACCCCTCCCTACCAAAACAACTCTATAAGAATAAACCCCTGCCTGCAATAAACGGAACCTAGACGCATCTTAGACTGACTCTGTCATTCTTTATACGCGCTTGGTTCCCTTTCTCTTTCCCCCCATTCCTACCCAGGTGATCCCGAACTCGAGGCCCACGAATGACGTGGCCTGCTGGACGGGTCACTCAGGTCCGTGCAGTGACCTCATGGAGTTGATCCTGAGGAGGGGCAGCTGTACCATTTGTCACTCACAGGTGTTCATTCTGTTTTGCTTGACAACTAATTCTGCCATCAAAAGTTCAGCAGAGGTTGTAGTGACCTTGTCTAATCATAGATGCATTAAGTCACTTGTTAGTGGGGCTGTCTTCTTTTGTTTCTTTCCCCAATGTACTTTGGGAACTGACTAAATAGGATATGTTTTTCAACAGTTACCATGGCTACAATGAGCAGTTAGAGAAGTAGATTTGTTATTGGAAGTATATAATTTAAAAAATGAAAATTCAGTATTGAAAATATTTTGTTTTTAACTTTTTTTCCAGATTGTGGGCACTGGCATTTTGATGTTCCGAATTACATATTTTCCAAGGTTGTTTCTCTTTTTCCCTGAGAAAATAGTAAACAAAAACAAAATCAGATACTTCTGAAAGGTTGCAATTTAAAAGCAGAATAAAAATGATAAAAATGTAATACTTTGAAAAACTGAGATTGCCAATTTAAAAGACATTCAGTTTGTTTTACTAAAGGTATAGTAAATAATAATATCATTTAACATCAAATGATTTCATTTGTAACACGAAGGTAAGAAAATTCCATTTGTGCTTACTTCTTTTTTTTTGACCATGCTTTCCTGAGGCAGAGTTGTTCTCAGCATACGTGGTATCTACAAAGCAAAGGTGGCATTCAGAGAACTTTAAACTCTGATAAAAGTCACAAGCAGTATGACAGTTTGTATCATAGCTTGGGAAGCCTGGTGTGCGTGTGTGTGTGTGTGTGTGTACATACTACAGTATTTATGTCACTGGGTTTAAAAGTACCATTATTTTACTATTTTTTCCTCCCACATCAGCAATACATAAGTATGTAAATTTAGTTGATAGGATTCAGCCTGTTAAACATGAGTTCATGGTCACTTCCTGCTTCCTACACTTTCTAAAATTAAAAAGGGGTTCCCAGGATAGCTGGATATATACCAGCCATAACACTGAAAATGAAATGTGTCTAGCCACAGTGGCCTTCAGTCATCGGATTGCTGACATCCTGAGGGCCAAGGCTGGGCGTCCTAATCTTCTACACCTGACCCACGTCTTAGGTATTCCCGAAATTCCTCCCTGGTACTCAATTCAGAGGAGGAGCTACTGTGTATTCCCACAAGAAAAAGGAAAAGTCCTGAACAGTTCTAGTCTTCGGAACCAATCCAGCAAGAGGTTCTTGACTGGAAAAAAGGGCTGGGAAAATAGCTCAGTCGGTAAAGTGTTTGCCACTAAGCATAAGGACCTGAGTTCAGATCCCCAGTACTGTGTATAAACCTGGGTGCAGCAGTGAGCAGCTACGATCTCAGAGCTGAGGAGATATAGACAGGAAGGTGTCTGAAGCCCACTCACCAGCCACCCTCACTGTATCAGTGAGTTCCAGGTTCAGAGTGATACCTTTGTCTCAAAATGAGGCAGAGAGATAGAAGAAGATATTTAACAATCAACTCCTGGCATCTACACATGTGTACAAATAGTAACCTATATGAGGGTGTAGGAAGGCTCAATCCTGCCAAATTGAAGGGTAACTGGGGAGGGATAGTCCTGCCAGCCTGTGAGGGACAGGACGGGTAGGGTTGGGTAACCCTGCAGTCTGTGTGAGAAGGGTAGGACAGACCTGCAGTTTATTTAGGAGGCAGAGAGACAATGCTGTCAGCAGGCCAACCTTGCCTTTATCTGAGCTGTTGGTCAAACTTGCTCCAGAAACTGTCCCCAACGCTGGAGCTGGGGCTGGGGCCAACTTTGCCCTGGTGGCCATTCTCTTCTATAATTGTTTCTTAGACCTCATGCCCTTTCTGAGGTTATATGTGCACCATCTGCTTCCATTTCTGATTACTATGGCGTCTTGGGCATGGTGGGTGACAATCTTTAAGGTCTCAGGGCCCTAGATGATCATGTGAAATGAAGTGACCTCTCCACCCAGGATCAACTTCATCCTCTTTACTTGGGTGTAAACGGTAACCCTAGGGTTCATACAGCAGGACAGGTATCCAGGACAGAATCTGTGGAAGACTGTGGTCCAGCTAGCCTGGCATACATGTCAATCAACAAGAGGTTAAGTCTCAAACAAAGTGGAAGGTGAGGATAGGATGAGCATCTGAGGTTGTCCTCTCTCTCTCTCTCTCTCTCTCTCTCTCTCTCTCTCTCTCCCACCACCCCCCCCGTTTCTGTCATGTTAACAATGGACGAGTAGATCCATTGATTGACAAGATTAATCCTCAAGACTGTATGCAACGATTTTCCTGCATTTGCCAAAAGAATCAAGTAAAATTCAATGCACAGAACAGGTCTCAGGGATCCATCATACAGAACAGACTCAGAGCGAAACGCATTAAAAATCAATAGTTTGAAAGCAGATGCCTACAGCCTATCTTGCTCCCTGAGCTTCCTTACTTGACTGGCTGGTGACTGAGGTAGATTCCTCCGAGCATCTGGGTCCATCATCAGGATTATCTCTGGTAAGGTCTGCATGAAGGAAAGAAAGAAAAGTCCCCTTAAGCATCTTAGTGTAGTCGAACTTTCTTTGGACCTCCAGCTCCCAAATAATGACACAGAGACTTCTTATTAATAATAAAAGCTTGGCCTTAGCTTAGGCTTGTTCCCAACTAGCTCTTAAAACTTAAACTAACCCGTTTATATAAATCTACACTCTGCCACATGGCTCATTGCCTCTCCCCAGTACAGTACATTTTACTTCCTTTCTATCTGGCTGGCAAATCCCCACCTCTCAGATTCTTCCCTGAGTGCCCATCTGAAGTCCTGCCTATCCTCTCCTGCCTAGCTATTGGCCATTCAGCTCTTATTAAACCAATCAAAAGGTGCCTGAGGCAGGTGAGGTAAAAGAGAGACACATCTTCACCCAGTGTGATCAAATACGCCACATCATCTTAGGGGTGACAGCAGGCACACACAGCAGGGAACACCAGAGTCTGAACATTGATTAGGAAGACTCAAGCAGTTAACTCAATGCTGCGCGCTGTTCTTTGCAAGGCTATTAGTTCAAGGCTGAACCAACAACTGAGCGAACTGTCATAGAGGTGGTCTTTCCTAGCAACTGACAAGCATCTTGTCTGTACCCTCATTCTGGTTCTCACTTCCCCACACCCTCACCTACCTCTTTTTCACTCCTACTTTGCTCCTTAGCTTTCTTCTTGGCTCTGTTCATCCTCCTGTTCTTCATCAGTACCCAGCGATGAACCTCTTGGTCCTTGGTATGCTTCCCTGCCCATCTATTCTCACACGTGTTTTGGTTCCCTGATATTTTTTCTCTCTTCTTAACTCCTACCAACCCTCCCTCCACCTGCCTTCTCTTAGTTTAGAAAGGAAAGCCTGGCCTCACCATTTATTAGCCTCCATTTCTCATTTCTGCCTTCAATTTTCCCCAGCTCCTTCTGCTAAGGTGGAGGTTGGCTTTGGTGGGCCTCTTTCCCTTCCTGCCTCCGTCTGGCTATCTGCACTGCCCCAAAGGACCCTGATGACTTGTCTAAGCCTCGTGCCTGGGAACCTGTAGCAATTACAGCATTCCTCCTTACCTATTATCTCAGAGACCTGATTGTTGTCAGTCCTTGCATGGGTCTGATGTTCATCATCCAAAAAAAATGAAGAATTTTCTTGCTTTATATTTTCCATAGGCACAGAACAGGGGCTAGTGTGGATCCCATGGCTGGGTATCGCTGCTCCTGGTCCAAATTACAATGAATAAGTTATTTTCAGGGACTGAGGAGTCAGTTCAGGCCGTAAAGTGCTGTGCAAGCATAAGTTCAATTCCCAGGATCCACGTAAAAATGATCCCTAAAGTGGCATCCGTTTGCAATCCCAGCACTCTGGAGATGGAGACAGGTGGATCCCAGGGCATCACTGGCCAGACAGGCAGTCTAGACTAGTCAGCGAGGTCCAGGACAAAAATAAGAAGTACATGATAACTACAAAGTACAACACAACCAGAGGCTGACCTCTGGCCTCAGCACACATATGCACACATGCAGACCAATACACGTGTATGCACACAAATATAAACATATACACTCAAAGAATTTTCATTTAACTCCCTAGAAGATCTTTTCGAATACATGATTAACCCTCTCCCCCCAATCTCCCTTCCACTGTGCTCTTCCCTTCCCTTCTACTCAATGAATCCTTGGAGAGGTAGTTGATTTTGATATTGTAAAAATAAAAATTAACTAGGCAAGGCTGTACACACTTGAGATCCTGGCACTTTGAATGCTAAGATGGGAGGAATGGTAAGTTCAAGGGCAACCTAGGCTACATAGCAAGACTCTCTTTCAAAAAATAAATAAAGAAAAAAAATAAAATTTTAACTGCAGATTAACATTCATATATAAAAGTGGCGTTGAAATGATTGCGAAGAGAAACTATCACTTAGATTACAAAAAAAAAAAAAAAAAACAGATGATCAACACCCCAGAGGCCTCTGGGTCACTCATTCCACCGTACTGAACATCATTCTTTTTTGTTGTTGTTGTTTTTTCGAGACAGGGTTTCTCTGTAGCTTTGGAGCCTGTCCTGGAACTTAACTCTTGTAGACCAGGTTGGCCTTGAACTCACAGAGATAGGCCTGCCTCTGCCTCCCGAGTACTGGGATTAAAGGTGTGCACCGCCACTGCCCGAATGTCATTCCTAAAGTTAACTATCATCTCCAGTTTCAAGATCTTGTTTATTTTACTACTAATGTAATCAGCATAAAATAAATTATAACCATGTTATCTTTTTTCCCAAAGAAGTCAAATACTTCCAGATTTATATACGAATGTATGTGTGTATATCTAAGTAATACATGTGTTTGTGAGAGTCTTTTGCATTATTATTTTTGTTGTTATAGAAATATCCTGACTAATACGGGCAGTAATGGCACACACCTTTAATCCCTGTGCGTTGGGAGGCAAAGGCAGGTTGTTCTCTGAGTTCAAGGTCAGCTTAGCCTACAGAGAGAGTTCCAGGACAGCCATGGCTACACAGAGAAACCCTGTCTCAAAAAAACAGAAAAAAAAAAGGAAAAGGAAACATACTGATTTGCTCTGTTTTAATTATTTGGCTTTTAAGATAAACAGTGCTGGGAGCATTGGTTCTTATTTGGGTTTTGAGTCATTTGCTTTCAGACAGGGTTGCATTGTAGCCCAGACTTGTAAAAACGGAGAAAACTGGTTTGAAAGCGATCCAGTAATTGTCCCCCAACCCAGCCCTCCCTCTCATCAGACTGAACCTCTGTATGTGTGGAAATACCTAATGCCTAAGGGAACCAGGTGAGTGGTGACCCCAGCACCTAGATCAGGCAAGAAAATAAGAAAAGATACATTGAGGTTGGCAGAGAGCAACTTTAAACAGTCTCTAACCCCAAGCAATACAGCATGGAGAGAGATGCCTTCCAGGTAAAGGCAGCAAAGAAAAACCAAGAACCAAGTTTGACTTTGAACCTCAATGCTGGTGCTGCCTCAGTGAACTCAGTACTAAGCAGGCCCCTATGAGGTCCAAGCCAGTACCTGTGACATGAGTCTCCAAGCCTGCCACGCCATATAGTCCTAGGTTCTTGACCAATGGCTTGCCTCAAAATCTAGACCTATTTCCTTTTAAAGGAATAGGGAACGAAGAGTCTTGAAGATATAACAGAAAGCTTTCCAAATGTATAGAAAATTGTAAATGTCCTGGTAGAAGACAGAAGGTATCAAGTTTGACTTAAGACAAGTCACAACAAATGAGGTTGAATTCATAATTAAAAATCATATGTTTACGAAAAAGGACCCAGATAAGATGTCTTGCTAAACTAAAAGTCAGAATTTATATTTCAATTATAACTAAACACCATACGCAGGAACTCAGCCAGCATCCATATCCCATAGTGAAAAACTTTCCCTTTCTTTATAAAAGGATACCCAACCTCAATGTTCCTATGGATATGGACTATGGATAACCATGGGACCACGAGGGTGCCCAGCACCATGGTTAAGGAACAAAAAACTCCAATGAGAGTCACCTCACACAGGTTAGAATGGCCATCACCAAAAAGACAAGCGAGAGGAAGTGTTGGTGTTGTCGTAGAGAATTGGAGACCCTGTATGTGTGAGTGGGGTGTAAGTGCCTACAGCCATTAGGATAAAACAGTATGGAATTTCCTCAAAAACAACTGCAAACAGACCCATCATGTGATTAGACAGTGCTCTCTACTGCACACAGAACTCGGGGGATTAAAATCAGTCTGTTAACGAGACGCCTGCACCTGTTACAGCTGGACAAGCTCCACGTATGGAGTCAGCGTGAACAGCTGCCAGCATCTGGAGAGAATGTGGTGTTCACACGGGAGAGACTCCCAGACAGTCTTAAAATGAAGGAGACCGCATCAGCGGAGACAACATGGATGAGCAACAACACAGCATAAAGCAAGCCAGGTCCGAAAGAGCTAGAGCTACACGATTTCACGTTAGGTGGCACGGGATAGGGTCCGACTCAGAGGGCGTAAAGTAGGAGGGAGGAGGGGGGCTGAGGCCATGGTGGAAATAAAATTTCAGTCAGGAAGAATAAGTTTAAGATGTCCATTATACAACACAGTAAGGCTAACAATATATTGAGTTCTCAAGAAATTGCTGAGGTCATACATTTTAAATATTCTTCCCACGAAAATGTATATGAGGTAACAGACATATCTTGACGCAGCCACTTCACAGGGCATATGTAAAACAGCACACTGCCTCTGAGATGATGTGCTTGTGTGTGGGTGCATGTGTGTGTGTGCGTGCGTGTGTGTGTGTGTGTGTGTTTGTAGCGCTAGAACTGGACCAACGACCTCACACATGCTAGACAAGCATTCCACCACTGAGCTACACTCACAAACACAAATATACATGATACTTTTTTCAATAGTCAAGTTTGAAAATGGTTAAGATTTTTTAAACAAACCAAACAAAGCTCTGCCAAGCACATACAGACCACCTGACAAACAAAGCCAGGAAGGAAAACAATAGTTACTTTCGTTGCTGCAGGGCAATGGGATGTGAGGCTCCAGGCCTGCATCTCTGTCACTCAGTTGGACTTTTAGTTCACAGGAATCTGAAGAAGAAAGGCCACAGGTGAGATCCCACAGAGCCTGCTCTTTCTCAGTTTCCACCTTCATCCCTCACCCTGATCTCATCTCTCGTTCCTACTTCTAGCCCCATCTGCACATGTGGCCACCCCATCCTGGGAGGTATTTGTGCTTCGTGAATCCATAGCCAACCCCTCTGACTCTTGTTTCTTAATTTTTCTTTTCCCTGGTAAGACTTTTCCATCTCTTTCCCTCTGGGGTTTCTTTTTCAACAACCGCCTCCAGGTCTCAACAGTGCATCAAGAGTTCTCTTTGCTTCTTTGTGCCTGAGCAGTTTTCTTCTTGTATCAGACACCAGCGCCTTCCTCTGCTCCCTCCCAGAGCTTGGCCCTTCATGCTCATATTCAGTCCATCTTACCCTCCGGCTCAGAACCTGGGCCTGGCGGTCTGGCTGCTTGGGGCCATTGCAGTCCATCAATGTCGTCGCCGGTGGTATCTTCTTTCACGTCTACTACTTCATAGAGGTCTTCTGAGAGTCCATTTTCAGATAAACTCACAACTGAAACAGATTTTGTTTTGTAACTATTTTATTTGCCCATCACATTAGGATCCACTAGGAAGAGAGAGGTCTCTCTAAGCCTCGAAGACTGAGAGACAGAGAGGATGGAGAACTGGGGGAGGTACTGAAGGAACATAGCGGGTAATGACAGGGTGATTAGGGTTGGAGCAGGGTTGGGCTGCAGCAGGGATGTGGAGCCATGGAGGGTGGTGCTGCTGCATCTGCTGCCAAACTGAGAACCAAGATAGGGATGGAGGAAGCCTGGGCTTTGCTGTCTTTATTCTCTAAATGCTTTTGCAAATGCCTCTCTTGTCAGAAATTCTGCGGGAAGCTGGCTGGAAAGGGAACTTGTCAAGAAAGAAAGCAGGGACCTGAGGCCGGAGGTAAGGGTCTGGGTAGGGAAAGAGTCCCAGAGCAAACAAATTCAGGGCTGACGTCCTCTCTTCCATTACAGAAAACCTCCCTTGCCCGTGGTGGATTCTGTCTGTCCTGCCCACTCTATTCCACCAACATCAATGGTATGTGAACGAATAATACAATATACAGTACCGTTTCATGGTTTTCATTTAATTCTTTGTCCACAAAGTTAAATTAGAGAAAATAATTGAAAAGTTAATTATAGAAGACTTAACATGCAATGTGGACCTGGGTGCACTTTATGTTACAATCTATACTGGTTAGACCCCATGCTTTTTACAGCCATGGGCGCGAGTACAGTCCTAGCCCCATTTGTGTCCATCACAGCCAGTGTCTCGGCTGGGTCAGACTAATGGACACATACATTGGTGTCTAATTGTTCACCCTGTGGTCCATCTGGGTGGTGGGTTGATAATTCTGTATCTTCATCCATCCCTGTCAATGGTATTGTTTGGATGTCATTACCAGATAGGGTTGTTCCAGACCACACAGACTCACCAAGAATTCACCTGTTTCTCTTGCATCCCTCCTCCCCCTGCATCTGGTCCCTCTACTCATCCCTAACCACAATCCCACCCTCTCAGTGCTTCTTATTCCCACACTATGCACCTGCAGAAGAACAATAAACAACACAGACTCAAATATTGCTATAGTCTCAAATGTTAAAATTTTGAATGAAAGATTTTAAGATATATAACAATTATTTCAGAGGTAACCCTGGAAAGAGATATCACAGTGGTCAAGAGCACTTGCTGCTCATGTGAAGGACCTGGGTATGGTTATCAGGATCCACATAATGGCTTACAACTGTTTGTAAATTCAGTTTCAGGGAATCTGACACTTACTTCTGGCTGCCTCTGAGGGCACCAGGGACATACATGGCATATATATATATATATATATATATATATATATATATATATATATATTGTGTGTGTGTGTATCACCCATAGAGATAAAACAAAAATAAGTAAATCTTTGATAGCATTTTAAAATGAAGTGTTAATTTTAAGAAATCTCTTCTTAAATGACATATCCCACATGAAATCCACACAGTAACCCTTCAAAGTGCCAGAGAGGTGTTTGCAAAGATGAGTCATGGAATAAAAAAATAAGTACTATTGCATACATACCACTGTGAATCTGAGGGATGGAGAATTGGCGATTCTCAGCTTGGGTTCCCTGGGTACTTCTCCAGCCTGAGGAATAATGGATTTCATAGTGAGTATCCATGTTAGACATCCTGAGAGAAGAAATCCCATTTATGCAGTGTGAGAAGCTTAGATTCTGGAAGCAGGTAAAATTGACACTGATGACTGAATAAGTTACAACAACAAGAAACAAGTGACATACAACAGAGATGAAGTACCAAACATGAGTATTGACACTCTTCATGGCATCACTTGATGTCCATCTGGAGCCTGGACCACTGTTACATCCCTTTTATAGGAGATGACTCCAGGGCCCAGAGAGGATAGATAACCTGCCTGGGATCACAGAGGCAGAATTTGAACCCAGACATTCCTAATCTGCCCTGGATCTTGAAGCACAATTGAATCCTAACAGTTGAGTAAAAATGAAAATTTTCATTTTCTGAAAATGCGATGAGACATCATTATTTTTAAGTCATTCAGAAGATTACCGCAATAATACCTGTATCAATATATCAAAAAGAATATAATATTCTTATATATTCATTATCATATTATAATATATTTATTGCTGTTTATACTTATAATTTAATTATAAGTTTTGTTTATAAACAAAATAATATAATATTCATTATGATCAATACATTGAATTTAGAGTATTCTAAATAAGTAATAGCTTAAGTATTTGTTAATTTAAGGAAGGTCAAGGGTTTAATTAAAGTATCAAAAGGAGACAGGTCATGGCAGTACATGCTTTTAATTCCAATAATCAGGAGGTAGAGGCAGGTTGATCTCTGAGTTCCAGGTCAACCTTGTCTAAAGAGCAAATTCCAGAACAGTCAAGGACTACACAGAAATTCTGTCTCAAATAATCATATAAATGAATAAATAAGTAAGGAAACAAACAAACAAGTAAATAAATGAAACATCAAAAGTTTTTCCCCCCACTGGTCTGTCTTCCCTAGAGAGAGACTCTCAAGCTGTTACCCTGGTAATGAGTGGAGGTATCATTTGGGAGGTCCAGTTGTGTCATGATCATATGAGCTGAACGCAAAGGGAAAATTCACTGCCTCCCCGATGTTCATGTTCATCATTTCTCTCTAACCTCCACGGGACAGAAGATCAGAGCATGTAGGCCATGTCTAGTCAGTCAAGAGAGCCACAGGTAGACAACTTTGAATTCAGGAATATGGGCAAGATGTACAGGAGATGAAGCTTTCCTAGTCAACCCTGAACTTGGAAAAGCTACAGATGCAAAAATGTCGTGGACATCAGAAACACAAGGAAAGAGAGCCCCCCCCCATGTGAGGTGTGTGGGCTGGTTTTGTTTTTTCAACAAAACAAGATATGATGATCTAGGAAGAAAAACTCTCAATTGAGAAAAATTCCTCCATCAGATTGGCTTGTAGACAAATCTGCAGGGGCATTTTCTGGACTGATGATTAATAACACCACTGGAAGGTTTCACCCCTGTATGGGTGGTCCTCAGATATATAAGACCGCAAGCTGAGCAAGTCATGAGGAGCAAGCCAGTAAGCAGCGTTCCTCCATGACCTCTGCTTCAGTCCCTGCCTCAAGTTCCTATCCTGATGTCCCTTCATGGTGGACTATAAACTGTAAGCTTAACTAAACCTTTTCATCCTCATATTGCTTTAGGTCATGGGGTTTCATCACAACAACAGAAAGCAAATGTGTTCGCATGGGATGAGACAGCAATGTTAACAGAGTCAAAGAGAACAGACCATCAGATGAGGAGGGACCTGAGGGTGATGAGGTCAGGCTTTCTTGACAGCAGCTGTCACCCTGTCCTGAGGAACAAAAATTAGATGTTCATTTCAGGAGCTGAAACAGGTTACTCTCTTTTGTCTTTATTATGTGAGAGCTGAAGGAGCCCTTGAAGCATCAATCCAGAGCCCATCTGGAGCTGATAAGCTCCCCATGATTCCCGAGATCAGACTCGAGTCATGAGAATAGGTTGTAAGGGTCAGCTCTGGCTGAGAAGTTCCTTCCTGAGCCACTTTAGTACCTGGTGGTGACTTGTCTTCATATCCATGGCTATAGGATGCCTGCATGTGCCCCCAGAGCTTCCTGACCCAGTGTCCTTATCTGAGTTTCTCCCAAGCAACATTTGTCATATCGAATCCATCTCTTCTAACATCAAGCGTAAAACTGTGACATACTAAGAAATGGCTGTTTTGGTCTTCATCCCCCTGTTTCTGGCCAGATTTTCTCAAATTCTGGATGAGTCCCCAAGTGATTAAGATGAAAAGAGTCAGTCTACCCTTGAGAATAGCTGACCTTCCTAATTACCACTACAGTGTACACTACAGATGTAAAGTTTGGAAATTCATTAGGAATGAAGGACTGGCTGCCAGGGGAACAAAACATGATGACAGCATGGGAACCCTGACCTCCAAGGTGAGAAGACCTAGAGTTGACTTGATCACATGGCTACTGATTTTATTCACCATGCCTGTATGATGGAACTTTTATTAAAGATTCTAGAGACTCTGTTCAGAGAGATTTGGGTTGACAAACTCCATAGTGCAGGAAGGGTGGTGTGCCCAGGGATGACAAGAGAGTGCTGTGTTTTCTCCCCATTATTCCTTGGGGTGTCTCTCTCCCATGTGGTTATTGTTCGTGTGCATATGTGTGTGGAGAGCTGAGGACGACTTTGGGTGTCATTCCTCAGGTGGCACCGACCTCTTTTTGTAGAGATGGAATCTCTCACTGGACTAAAGCTCATCAATTTTCCTGGGCAGTGATCTCAATGGAGCTGCCTGTCTCTGCCTCCCTGGTACTAGGATTATACCACCTGCCCCTGTGTCTTGAGCTGTTTTTTTTTTTTTTACACAAGTTTAGGGGGTCAAACTCAAGCCCTGTGCTTGCATGCACTTTTTGTAGAGATGGAGTCTCTCACTGGACTAAACCCTCATTGATTTTCCTGGGCAGTGATCTCAATGGAGCTGCCTGTCTCTGCCTCCCTGGTACTAGGATTATAGCTCCTGCCCCTGTGTCTTGAGCTTTTTTTTTTTTTTACACAAGTTTAGGGGATCAAACTCAAGCCACTGTGCTTGTATACACTTCGACAATGAAGTCATCTCCCCAACTCCCCTCACCCTAGCTGACTATTTTTGACCTATAACTTTTCTAATAAATTGTAAGCTAATGTTTCCTTGAGGTTCATGAGCTATGCTAACAGTTCTGTAGCCTGAGGGGCCATGGGTTCAGTTGACCAGAAGCATGGGCCACACCCCAGAATTTGTAACCAGCATTTCATAGTAGACTGTTGTCTTGTGGCACTGAAGCCTTTGTCAGAATATAATTACATCATAAGACACCTTGCTAAAGTCTGGAGAGTTGGTTGATGTTGTAAAACGCCATTCACAACACTTCTGGTGTCAGAGACCAGTGCATATAAGGGCAGCACAAATCAAGAACATTTCTCTTACAGAATATTTCCTCTTGGATGCCACTGTGGACCACACTGCTTCACCTTTCACAGTTCCATACTGGCCATCTCCTTCAGAGGCTTCTCTAAGACCCAACTGTTTCTGAGTAGTCAGTCTCTTTCAATCTGGCTACCGACACTGGTTCTTTGATCCTGGGCATCAGGCTGACTGTCTGTTGTCATGGTTGCTCTGGGTGGATTCTACATCTCACTAGAGGCTAATCACTTTGAATTTCAAGCACCCCCTCCTTCCAAGACTCATATATTAGAGGTCTGTCCCTCAGGATGGCAATAGTAGGTGTTGGTGCTACCTTTAACAGGCAGATTCGAGCTGAAGGAAGTTATATCATTGGAGGTGTATCCTTGAAAGACACAGGCAAATTCTCTCTTTCCTTGCTTCCAGGTCACCATGAGGTGAACAGCCTTGCTTCTCGCAATTCCTTGCTTTGGTGTCGTGCCCTACCATAACAAGTGAGGTCAAACTATCTGCACTGAAGTTCCTAATATCATGAATCGAAATTAATTGACTTCTCGGGTATCTTTTGTTTTTGAGGGAGTTTTACTACGTACAATTGGCTGTTCTCAAGCTCACAATTTTTCTGCCTCAGAATTTGAGTGCCCAGCTTCTCCTGGGTTTTGTGCCACCCCCCCCCCCCCCACTGCTTTCTGTTTTTCCCCAAGACACATTCCGCTAAGGATCACCTTTACTTTATAGTCTCTATGGCAATAAGAACTACTCTCCAGGTATAGTTACCTTGTTCAAGACTGAGTTGTGAGTTCCGGTCCCTTCTATCAATTTCTTTGGACCACAATTTGTTCTGTGGCAAGACTGAAATGGGAGGGAGAGTGAGTAAGAGAAAGAAGCCATTAGAGATCTCTAGCAGGGATAAGGGGCAGCATTTCTGCATTGCACATTTAGGAATTTCCAGTCTTCCCATCACTCCAAGTTCAGTGTGTCCCACATACAGAGTTCACCCATCATGTCCTGGGACAGGGAAGACTCCACAAGGGAGATTTTATGCTTCCCATACAGAAAGGAGACACTCAAGTCAGAACAAAAAAGTAGAAGGTACATTTGTACCTATTCCAGTGTTCAGAGGGCAGAGAAGGTAGATGTCAAGACAGAAAAAAAAATAGAAGCTAAATATAACTTCCAGGCTGTCATAAGTATAAGAAAGAGGGTCTTTCCTGGAGGGAAGGTCTAGGATCTGGAAGCTTGATGATGGACAGGCTTTAAAGATGGACAAGATGGGGCTGAAGAACTGGCTCACACATTGTTGATTTCTATGAGCATGTGGTGCTAAGCTAAGATGGATCCTGCAACCCACAGCTGGGCTGTCACTCGAGGTGGGGGTAGTGAACCCGATGGACTCTTGTGTACAATATTATAAGGGCTCCACTGAAGAGACACAGCAGTGCTACCCTACAGGGACTGAGTTCTTCCTGTCCTCTTCTCCATAACCTGATGCTGATGGGGCTCTCATTATCTTCTCAGTCTAAATACCCAGTCTAGCAAACCTCGGGAATGTGTCAACTCTAACCATTAGATATAAGTGCTATGATTATGCATGGGCATTAGTTTTGTTAATTAGTACATTCCTAATCATGCTGCATTATATGACACCTGGTAGACATTTAATATATGCTTGATATATTAATGACTGGGATCTCAGAGGGGGATATTAAACCAAATTACCATTTTCGATTTCTTTGGAAATGGGTTCCAAATCAGGGTATTCCATCAGAATTCCAGGACTGAACACTACCCATAGAACATTCCGGTCAAATTTCTTCTCCAGTTCTTCTAGGGCTCTGTAGACCACCTTTTGTACAGGAACCAGGTTTGTACAGGAATCTTTAAAATCCTTAAAAAATTTAAAGGAGAAGGTGTAAGTGCAGGCTTCCAGGTCACAGAAAAGCTCTAGGAAGCAATAATAGTTAGTGTACCTCAATCCACAACAGACATATCTTCTAATGCAAAGTTTTATATTTGCATGGCTACTTCGTGAAACAAGTAAATATTTTTCTCTCTCAAAATACTCACTAGTGACTTTGAGCTTCCACCCCCATTTTTATGACATGTATGAAGGGCCACTTTTTGTACGAAAGGGAAACTTGGGTTACGGGTTAACAGTGGGGCTGGTGAGATGGTTCAGTGCGTTATAGGCGCTTGTCACCAATCCTGATGGTCTGAGCTCAGTCACTGGGATTCAGATGGTGAAAGTGGAGAACCAACTAGTCACAGGCTGGCCTCTGACTTCTACACGTGCAGAGCAGCAGGCTCATACACACATGTACACACAATACAAACATATACATACTTATAAGTAAATAAATAATATATGCAATAATATTTCTTGAATGGAGTGAAGGCGTAAGTCACAAACAATGCCACTCCAGTTTGGAATTATGATTAATAGGGTGGTATTTATTTAAAGGAGAAAAAACTTACAGATCACCGTCCCAGACAACAGCCCTCTGCACAACCAGGAAGGGAGTCTAGTCGCCTGCGGAGCAGGAAGTGAAGAGAGAGAGGAGAGGGAAGTGGCTGCTTTTTTGAAGGGAGAGAGACCACGCCCCAATGGGCTGGTATCTCAGCGGCTATAGGCTGGAGTGGAAGGACCTCCCGCAGCAATGGAGGTGCTGGAAAGATGGTTCATGGTTGGGAATACTTTCTGCTCTTGCAGAGAACCCTCATTCAGTTCTCAGCACCCACACAGCAATGCAGGAACACCTGTAACTCCAGTTCCAAGGGATTTGATGCTGATTTCTGTAAAATATGGGCACCAGGCCCACAAGTTTTATGCACACATACAGTCAGGAAAAACACTTGTACACATAAAAATAAAAACAGAAGTATTCCTTTTTATTGTTTAAAGGTTAACTAACATAGTAGGTGGCCAATGATGTTCTGTTACTTAGACACCTCCTGGCCTCCTGTAGGAAATGAGGTGTCCATTCCCTCTGACTGTGAACTCTGCTGGAGGCAAACAAACAAACAAACAAAAAACAACTGGAGGGCAATAGAGAGGGCCCAGTTGTTAAGCACACTTGCTGCTCTTGCAGAGTTCCCAGATTGGATTGCCAGCACCCTGATGATGTTCACAATCATCTGTAAGTCCAGTCACAGAGGATCTGGTGACCTCTCTTCTGACCTTCAGAGGCACCAGGGACACCGTGATGCATAGACATACATGAAGAAAAAACACTCATATATATAAAACAATCATAAAATGTTTTTAAAAATTTGTCCAAATAAAATACTCTATAGTTTGTAATATTCTCAGATATAGGTTTTTAAAATAGATATTAATTAAAATAAAATGTCCTCTATCCTGAGTGAGGTAAGCCAGACCCAAAAAGAGGAACATGGGATGTACTCACTCATATTTGGTTTCTAGCCATAAATAAAGGACATTGAGCCTATAATTCATGTTCCTAGAGAAGCTAAATAAGGTGAATCCAAAGACAAACACATAGGCATCCTCAGGAATATTAACCTTCATCAGGCGATGAAAGGAGACAGAGACAGAGACCCACATTGGAGCACCGGACAGAAATCTCAAGGTCCAAATCAGGAGCAGAAGGAGACAGAGCACGAGCAAGGAACTCAGGACCACGAGGGGTGCACCCACACACTAAGACAATGGGGATGTTCTATTGGGATCTCACCAAGGCCAGCTGGCCTAGGTCTGAAAAAGCATGGGATAAATCCGGACTAGCTGAACATAGCGGACAATGAGGAATACTGAGAATTCAAGAACAATTGCAGTGGGTTTTTGATCCTACTGCACGTACTGGCTTTGTGGGAGCCTAGGCAGTTTGAATGCTCACCTTAGGAGACCTGGATAGAGGTGGGCAGTCCTTGGGCTTCCCACAGGTCAGGGAACCCTGATTGCTCTTCGAGCAGATGAGGGGGGGGGGACTTGATCGGGGGAGGGGGAGGGAAATGGGAGCGGTTGTGGGGACGAGGCAGAAATCCTTAATAAATAAATAAATTTAAAAAATAAAAAAAAAAATGTCCTCATGGAAATTTCACTAAGTCAGTTCAATAAAATAATTCAACAGTAAATTAAAATCACTTTTAATTTTTAGTTTGTTTATCTTTTTAGTTTAGTTGAGTTTGAATTTTATGAACTCTATGGTTTAAAATGCTTGAGATATTGCACATCTATAGAGAACCCCTGTTCTGCTCTGGCTTTTCTTCAACAATACTCATCCAGAAAGCAGCATGAAACACCTTCCCCTCAGATAGAAGCAGGACCATCTCCTGAGGTCTCTGCTTCTCCTCCCCTTAATACATGGGGAGAACACTTCTTGAATTATTTACCTAATACATATCACTCCCAGGAAATGCAAGTTTTAAACCTGAGTCCAGAATTCTAATTTATAATTGATGAATGTATTATTGTAACGAATACCTCTACAAAGTGCTATGAAAACCTTGTCAATAATTCTTTGTCAGAAATTAGGTTGGGGTGCTGGAGAGTTGGCTTCTGGTTAAGAAGATGTGTTACTATAATAGAGGATCCAGGGTGATTCCCAGCACCCACATCAGATGACTCACAACTGCATGTAACTCCCAATCCAGGGAATCTAGAGCTCTTTTCTGGACTCTGTAGGCACCAGCACATATGTGAACACACACACAAACACGCACATGAGCATGCAAAAGCACAAAAACATACATTCACATGAGAAATAAAATCTTACTTTTTAAGTTAAGTCCAACTTTAAAAACCTGCCAATCATCCAGTCTGGCTCCAAAATATCAAAGTGTAACTTAAATAACAAAGTGTTTCAAGGTTAGAATATAACAAACCCCACTTACTGTGTACATTTTTTCAGTGATGAAATTGTTGTCACGGAGTACCTCAAGAAAAGGAAATGGCTTTTTTATTGCATTTGAAATCATCGCTTTCTGTCTTTTGAACTTCAGGAATACAGGATCAAAGGGAATCGTCTCTGTGGCCTCGTCTTCTGTGGACATCCTGGAGGGGGAAATACCATGGGGAAATGATAATCTGGTCCATCAGTCTATATGCTTGCGAAATGTAAGGTTTTATACATGAAAGAAAGACTGTAAAGGAGTAATATACATAAGATAGGTGGTCTTAAGTTATCCCCAATAAATACAATGAGTCAAGTCCAATAATTTGTCAAGTTTGGGGTTCAAGTTAGAAAGACCCTGCCTTGTCACTCCCAGAATCACACATGTGCACACACATACATATGCATCTGCACACGTAATTCATGCATGTGAATGTTTATGCATGCATGTATACTACATATTCACATACAGACAAAAATAAAGTGAAATATAATGTTAACTATGACTCAAAAATTCCACTACTAGGTGTTCTTATACAGGTGAAAAGGAATATTCTCAATAATTTATATGCAAATAATTCTCCTAGCATTATCGATAGCCAAAAGTTAGGAATGTTTGAAATGGCCATTAGTTTGAGTGTAGAAAAGTAAAACTGGAAATTTATACAATAAAATATTATTCCTCAATAAAAGGAACAAAATGCTAATACATTCTATGAGTGAATGAATCTCAAAAATTTTTCTTAATAATGGAAGACAAATAAAGATGGCCACACAATGTATAATTCCATATCGATAAAATGCCCAGAAACGAAATCTATAGAGACATATGTTTGTGTGGTTGCGTGGACTAATGGGACCAAGAACGGACTGTACACAGCTGTGGGGGGGTTCTTCTAGGGATTCCAAGTCCAAAGTTCCAAACTTGAACTGTGGTGCTGGTTGCAGGCTCTGTAAAAAGTCATTGGATTGTACATTAAAATGGGTAAATTTTAAAGCAAGTAAATTAAACTAAAAAACCTGTCAAAAATATGAAGTGGAAATTCAAAAAGGTAAGCAGATCAATAAAGGTGACATGCTGAATATTTTTTCCTCTGAGTATAGTAAAAGGTGGATATTTTGAATAACAAATACACATTGTGTTCTTACTGATTTGGGGTTTTATTTTTTTCTTTTATTTTTTTGTCAACTTGACAATGCTAAATTTATTTGGAAAGAGGAACCTTAATTTAAAAAAGGAAGACCTATGTCTGTATTGCCTGTGAGCAAGTCTCTGAGGAATTTTCTAGATTGGCGATTGATGTGGAAGGGCCCGGTTCACTGGGGGCATTGCCACCTGGACAGTTGGACCTGGTATACATAAGAAAGCAAACTGATCAAGCCAGGAAGCAGTGTTACTCCATAGTTTCTGCTTCAATTTCTGCCTCCAGGTTCCTGCCCTGACTTCCTTTGTTGAGGACTGTGATGTGGATGTGTAAGACAAAAATCCCTTTTCTCCCCAAGTTGGTTTTGGTGTTGGTGTTTATTACCGCAATAGAAACTCTAACTTAAACACTGTATGACTGGATGTTTCCCCAGTCTAAACAGGGATGTCAGGAGGTGACAGACAGCACTTAGGTTAAAAAAATATCTTGCTGATGTCACAATGTCTATGAGTTTAATCCCCAGCACAGGATGACCAGCCAGCAACTCCCCGCCCCCCCCAACAATAACTGGAGGATGAGGTCCTTACCCATGGACCACAAAACCCACATCTGAAGGACAAGAGATGCAGTCTCACTTTGACTGCTTTGCCCCTTGCTCAGGCTGGAACAGGCCTTACCAAGATGATGACCCTGGACCTAAGATTTCTTTCTCTATAATGAGGAAACAGAACCAAATGAGAACATACGGCTCCCCAGAACTCTAAGATGCCCACAGGAGGGCTCCCTCTGTTTTCCTCAATGAAGAACATTGATGACTCAGCAGCAGACCAAGGAGAAACAAAGAATGGGGCAGGGATAACATGCTAGGGGTGGAGCTGTGCCTCCACTATCAGTGGCATCCTATGGGAGATCCCAGTCTTCTGCAGTGATCTGCAAAGCCATGCTGTGCCTCCATCTGTCCTGGGACCACACTGACCAGGTCTTCCTAGCCAGCATTCCAGTCTGGACACAGAGACAGCTCACTCCTTAGGACAATATGCTGGCTCTGCCTCACAGCAAAGCATAACCTTGGCTCTACCCATCCAATCAGTCCAATAGCAAGGCGCACCATCTGGTCAGAGCCCAACCTATGGCCTCACCTAGGCCAACAGTCAAACTGGCCATCTGCCTAACTCCAGAGCATAGCTTCTAACCTGGACAAACGAAGAATCCTAAACAGCGCTAGGTCCAGGCTCAGAAGAAGCCAGCCTGTGTCACAGACACAATGTTTAGCCAAACTGACACTCTGCTAACTTCAGAGGAAAGTTCTGGTACTTGTGACTAAGGAGCATCTTAGCCTTGTTCATAAAACTCATGAACAGGAAACCAATGCAGAAATCCTTCCACAGATGTCAGACATTTCTTCTCATCTCAACAGGATGTTTCCAAGCAAGAAAGCTTCAACATTTGCAAAACGGTAAATGAGATGCATCGCATTCATACAAGGCAAACATAAACCATGTCCCCCAGCAGATACCCAAAAGGTATTGGGCAACCTCAGCATGTGTTCATGATAGAAATAAACCTCTCAAAATTCAGCCTAGAAGAACTGTACCTCAGTATAATAAGTATCGTATATGGAAGCCATGATGTTATTTTTTTTAATTTATTTATTTATTAAGGATTTCTGCCTCCTCCCGCAACCGCTTCCCATTTCCCTCCCCCTCCCCCGATCAAGTCCCCTTCCCTCATCTGCTCGAAGAGCAATCAGGGTTCCCTGACCTGTGGGAAGCCCAAGGACTGCCCACCTCTATCCAGGTCTCCTAAGGTGAGCATCCAAACTGCCTAGGCTCCCACAAAGCCAGTACGTGCAGTAGGATCAAAAACCCACTGCAATTGTTCTTGAATTCTCAGTATTCCTCATTGTCCGCTATGTTCAGCTAGTCCGGATTTATCCCATGCTTTTTCAGACCCAGGCCAGCTGGCCTTGGTGAGATCCCAATAGAACATCCCCATTGTCTCAGTGTGTGGGTGCACCCCTCGTGGTCCTGAGTTCCTTGCTCGTGCTCTGTCTCCTTCTGCTCCTGATTTGGACCTTGAGATTTCTGTCCGGTGCTCCCATGTGGGTCTCTGTCTCCTTTCATCGCCTGATTTTATTTTCAAAAGCAAAAAGCTTAGAGTGTTTACCCTTGTGGTCAGGGACAAGGAAAGGAACAAGATGTAATGGCGTAAATGAATGCAGACAGATTGTAAAAATATATACAGCTTTAATGGGGAAATAGCCTTACAGAACCACCGTTCCTGTGGCGACCAGGAAAGCAGAAGCAGCGGCTGGGAGCACACTTGCCAGATTTATAGATAAACTTTAGCCCAAGGCGAACATGCCCCCTAAGGGGCGGGACTTATCCCTACAACAAGGAAAGGACGTTCACTCTAGGCAGTGTCTCTTATACTGTGCTGAAAGGAAGAACAGAAGGAAGAAAAGGGAAGGATGGAGGAAGGCAGAGTAAGTAAAACTGAAAGTAACATTACTTTATATGTACAAAATTCTGAAGATCATACACACATATTAGTACTAATTAATAAATTCAGTGAAGTTATAGGGTACAAAAATCAACATTCATAGTGATACATGTGGAAAAGAAATTAAAAGAACTTTTTTAAAAGAGAGAGAGAGAGAGAGAGAGAGAGAATGACTTGCTGAAAAAATCATTTTGTACGCTGTCAAGATTTGCTACTCAGATTAGTTTAATAAAAAGTTGATTGGCTGGGAGCCAGGAAGAAATTATAGTTGGGATCACTAAACTGGGAAAATAAAGGGAAGAACAAGGGTAGAGTCCAAGGAGATGCCAGCCAGCTGCCAAGGAAGCAGGATGTGTAGAGAATGAGGTAGCAAGTCATGAGTCAGGTAGCAAAGAATAGATAAGAAACATGGGGTAATTTAAATCTAAGAGTTAGGTAGTAATAAGCCTGAGGTACTAGCTAAGCATTTGTAATTAACATTAGGCCTCTGGGTGATTATTTGAGAGCAGCTCAGGGACAGGAAACTCAGCCAACAAATGGCACCTACTGTGGGCATAGATCCACATAAAAAAGCATAAAAACATTTCTAAACACAGAGAGCCAGACTCACAGTCTCCTGCCAGTCACTTCTCCCAACAGCTGCCTGTGAGATGGACCCATCAGCCAACAGCTGTGAGCTAAGTCATGTGGCAGGTTCTGCAGTCTCTCATACAGTCCACAGTAGAAACTCTCCCAGACATTGCCTGCAGGCTTGAGAACTCTGCCACCCTGGAGACAGAAAAGTTTATAGATAGGCAGTAAAGACAGATTCAGGCAGAAATAAAAAACCTCCTAATGTGTTACAGTATGTTAAAATATATATATGCAGGCTTGGTAGAGAAAAGAAAGGGGTAGAAAAGTCCTTTAAAATGGAATAGAGTAATAAAAATATAATTAGCAACGTAAAGATGAGAAATACACAGAGTTTGGATACTGTATGTTAATATGATGGCTTTAAATTTTTTGGCTACTAAGACACTCTAGATTATAGTAACTGCTAGAATCAAGCAACCTATAAATTTTTAAATATCTTGACTTCAAAAGTTAAGTCAAAAGATGTGTTACTTTGGGGGAGAAGTTATGCTTTTATTTCCACAGGGAATGAGAAGCTGTGGATTCATTCTGGGTTAAAGAAAATTGGGTTTGCTCAAGGAACCCCCCACCCTGAAAAATCCAGGCTACAAACAAACAAAAAATAAATGTAAAAGAACTTCAAGATATGTGATATATATTTTACCTGCTCAAACGCATAGCAAAAATATCTTTACTGACCTGTGTACAGTGAACAATCTGTACTTGTATTAATACGGATATGTATGTTACCTTTAAAAGTGTATGCATTTTTAGAGTGAGAAAACTAAACACCAATGAAAATGATGATTCAGGTGATCTAGCATCCAGAAGAGCTACCAGGCTGCTAACTGTGATGATCCAGCCTCATAGAATACTACAGTCAAGACTTAATAATTATTCTA